TTCTGTAGCTGGGGGCCCCCATCACAATGCCGTGCTTTATTTAAAGGCACAAGGTTAACACATATTGTCGCTGCGTGTAGGTTCCACACAATGTAAAGCAATAGCAATAATTATTTTTGGTTTTAATATTAACAAAACGAGAAATACGAAAAAAAAAATAACTATCTACTCGCATATAAACCAGTTTTTAGTTGTTTAATTTCAATGCTTAATGGTCACAATTGATTGGAGTGATTATTTTTAAGATTTTTCATTATTATAATTGTTATTGTTAACGCGTTTCAGTTTGTTATTGAAGAGATCTTAGCGCTGACTGGCAAAATCCGAACTATCTGGAGATATAGGCACACTTTTGACATATCTTTCAAGTAAAGACTTTTCACTTTTTGTTTCCTGGTCTAGTCCAGTTGCTAGACAGCTCGCGTATTCCCGCTGTTGCTATGCCACGCCCCTTTTGATAGCACTCGGCATGCATTTAAATGGCTGTCGAATCGACGGGCAGCTTCCTAGCTCAAATTGAGTAATTATCAATTGTTATTAAATATGTGCAAATAAATAAGTAATGAACGTAATCATAAACACAATTTGACGTCGTTCAATGACTAAGTTCCTTCCACAATACACACATACACATGTACATGTGCATGTATATATGTATATATGTGCGCTCGTCTATACCCATTAAATACCCATACACATCCATTCAAACATATATTAATATATATGTATACACGAGTACTCACAAATGCAAATTGTAAATCAGATACGGCATAAAAATATTGAACACATGGCGCAGCGTTAAGTGAAGTGAAGTTTGTAGCGGGTGTAGCGGGGGGTAAGGGTGTAGGCGAGCGGGGAGCGGGGCAGGGGTATTGGATAAGGGGGCAGAGAGCTGAAAAATCGAAATGAAATGAAATTAAATAAAGCACAATAAAACGTACTTAAAGATTGACGATTTTTGTGCCAGCGCCGCGGCGAGCACAGTGGTTCCATTACAATTAAAACTGGAGAAATCCGCAAAAGAATTCAACCTCTAAAATACAATTATTAATTAACATTAATAATATTTTAATTAGGTATATTTATTATCAGAAAAATAAATAAATAGAGTAAATGATAAAAGACATAAGTGAAGAGGCTAAGCAGTCTATAAATATTGCCACTTAGAACTAGACATAGATTACGACATTAGGTCCACATTTATTAAATGAATAAAATAAAAAATATATATCTAGAATTTTTTTTAATCAATTTTAAATGTTAACTAGAAATACGCGAACTCAGTGTTGGGCAAGGATATCACCTAGTTTTATTGAGAATATTTTATATTTTGTTTTTCATTTGTTTTCTTGAAGCTTTAACCAAGGTGCATAGCGTATAAGTTTTTGGGTAGAACGGCAGAGACGACACACACACACACACACACACAAACATATATAATTAAGTATATATGGATGGGCATATTGGCTATATATGTACCCGATTATGAAGAACTTGTGTGCAACTGTGTGTGTGTGTGTGTGTATGTGTGTGTGCAAGTGTGTTCGATCTTAATATAATTGGCTGTCAGTGCGACGTTCGATCGCCCCTGAAAAATACACACACAAAAAAAGCATCGCACAAAATGTCGGCAGCTGTTTGTTAGCCCAGAGAGTGTTATTGTTGTGTGTGTGTGTGTGTTACTTTTGATAAAATTTATTTGATTCTCCTTCATACATATAAATGCATTTTACAGTCATTGTTATTCATAATTTCTTGGCCCATTTCAAAATGGCTCGCAAAACATTTATATTTCGTGTGAAGCATACAGGCGTGCCCCTTGCCCCTCGCATTTGCCCTGCCCCCTTTATGGCAAGCGCTGTCTGTTGGCTAATTGAAAATCAATTAAATTGTGGCATCACATATTGCCAGAGCATATCAGAATATCAGAACATCAGACAATGTCAGACGCTTGTCAGAAATCATGCACAAAACAAAAACCAGCTCGAATCCTTATTGTTTTTCTTTTGTTTTGTGGCAATTGGAATTTAAGTCCAAAAAGTCAGGTTCAATGTATCTTGAAGTGCGTCTTAAAGCATTTCAACAGGTCTCAAGCGGCACAAGTTTTGCATGCCCAAGTAGCTCGATATTTGGGTTCAATTTTTTGCTGGTACAAGTTAAGATTTGAGGTTTTCGGGATCGGGATTGGGTATTATTAAAATGCGCATTTAATTGAACGCTAAATTTCTAATTATTTCAGGTGAACAAACAGTATACGGCCAACGATCTGGAGGCTTTTATGAAGATAGCCGCCAACTGGCAGAGCACCAACCACAATTTGTTGGAGGGTGTCGATCTAAAGACAGGTAAACTACATCAAATCTTAAACACAATTGTTGTTTAACAAATTGGAATTCGTTGGTTTTTGCACAGAAATGACGCAATACATGAACAGTCCATCGATGAACATGTATAAGAAACGCGAGCGTACACAGAACTGGAATCACCAGGAGAAGAAATACTTGCTGGATCTGTGCCGCAAGGATATGCGCATCATTGAGAATAAGCGACTAGACGCTGGCCTAACCGCCGTCAAGAACAAGGCCTGGAAGATTATACATCAGAAGTTCTCCAATCAATTTGGCACCGATCGCACCTGCAATCGCCTCAAGGAGCAATGGCGTCGCATGAAGGGTGAGCGTGACAAAGTTCTAAGCTAAAATTCCAAACTAATTCTTATTCTCGTTTCATATTAGCATGCACGCGTAACGAGATACTCGACTATAACAATCGCCTGGCTAGATTCGGCGCTGAGGTGGCCGATCGCAAGAAGCCCTCCCCGTTTACCTTTGAGGTCTGGGATTTTATGCAGGAGGCGAAAAAGGCGTGCAAATCGGAGGCACTCGATGGCATTGACTACTCCAAAATACCACTGGCCCTTGAGGAGGACTTTGAGTATCGCGATGACTACAAATTCAATGCCGATGAGCACGATATGGATGAGTAAGTGTCACAGCAACAACTGGAACGAGACAAACATAACTAACTTATATTTTTGCTTGGCCAATTGCAGCAGCCGCACACCGCCACAGGAGCTGTGCGATGTGGACATCAAGGAAGAGGAGACCAATGAAACCTTCAATGAGACCTACAACAATCACAGCAGCGATATTCATGCCAATGGCGAGCGTCTGAGCGTCTCGCCCAATCACAGTCGCAATGGCCTGCACGAGCCAGAGAGTCCGGCGGCCGCAACGCTTGACACGAGCAGCGCCTTTTTGCCGCCCACTGGTGGCGACATGTCCGGCTTTCAGCCCAGCTTCAACATGAACAACATATCCGCTACGCTGGAGGCGCTCAACGCGCTGCGCAGTGGCCAGTTCCCGAGCGCAGCTGCCGCAGCGGCTGCTGCCATACAGCAGCATCAGGCGCAGGCTGTGGCACTGCAACAACAACAGCATCAACACAGCAACAACAATAACAACAACAACAATGAGGATGATGATGAGCTGCTGAAGCCCATGGCCAAACGCCAGCGCACAAGCAGCAGCAGTCTGGCCAGCGAGGAGCAGCAAACAACGCTGCCACTGCCACTGCCACTGCCATTAACCGCAGCTGTGCCACAATCCGCAGACAGTCAAGCATTGGAGCGCAGCAGCAGCAGCAGCGGCGGCGGTGTTGTCGTCGTTGGCGGCAGTAGCAGCAGCAGCGCCGCCGCCGGCGCCGCCAGCGCCGCCAGCAGCACAGGCAACTCCTTTGAGCTGCGCCTGTTCATGGAGATGCAGAGCAAGGAGCATATGATGCGCATGAAAATACTGGAGGTACAATTGCAGGCGGCCAAGCACAGCCGCGATCTGGTCGAGATTAACAAGACGCTGGCGCTGCAAAAGCTGCAGGAGCTGGCCAGCAAGCGGTTGCCCAGTTAGAGCAACGCATCGATCACTGTTAACTGCTTGATTATCATCGTTTTCATCGTTGTTATAGTTGTATAGCTGTAACTTTGTAGCACGTAGCACTTAGCACGTAGGGCGTAGCTAAAGTTAAAATTTAGAATAAGCAACAAATTTTGTAACCAGAGACAGACCGGAACACACACACGCACATGGAAAACACACATGGAAACACAACACATGCATTGAGCTGCAATTCACAACATTCCTGGCATTGTTTTGACCAGTATTTAAAAGCTAGAAGCACACACACACACGCACACTCACATAGATAGACGGCAGCTCATTGCGCTTGCAGCTGCAGCGGCGCACAAAAGTATGCCATATTATTTTATATAGTCAAAGGACTCTCGCCCTCAATACAACAGCAGCCCAAGCATTCAGCCTACCTCACAACAAACACACACACAAATACACGCACACACACACAGGGACACAACAGACTCCTGGGCAGAGGCAGGTGAGTTAAGGCGTGTGTTTTGTGGCTCTGCACTTGACCAAGTCAAGTGATTTGTGAATACGCCCGAACGCATTCAAGTTTTTAGTTCTACTTAGTTCTAGTTCTAGTTGTAGTATCCGTAACAGCTCTCCAAGTTGCTCAAAACTACACACACACACCAACACGCACACTCACAAACTCTACTTACCACAAATGTATTTTAAAAATGTACTTATAAAATATATATATATATATATGTATTTATATATATATGTATATATTTTTGACTTGAGTTCGACTAACGAAATGCACAACAAATCATTTTTTATCTTATTTTAGAACTAAGTTACTTCACCTTGCATATTACGCGCATATATTATCTATATGATCGAAATTCTTAATGCTGATTTCTATTTATTTTGTATAGTTCGTATGTGGACATGTTTTTCGTTTTTAAATGCCATATTAATTTGCAAGTATATCCACACATTTATTGTTTCAAGTGTTGTTAAGCGATCTATAATATATATATCCATATATATATATATATATATATATATATATATATATATATATATATATGTATTTATATAGACAAACATATAACATACATTACATAAAAAAGCCTTTACTTTGAAGCAGCATTTCTTTTTCATTTTATTGACGCCTGTTATGTAACGCTTCTTGTAAAGCATTTGTAAATGAGAAATACAAACTATTTTAAATAAATTGAAGAGATATTATAATCATAGGACCAGCACTTTAAAATCAAAATTTCGGAAGCAGTAATTCATCTAAATTCTCAAGACGACTCTTTTCTGCGCAAGCTCCAAATTTTGTTTGCATATTTTAGCAACCTTTTATTGCTTCGCAGTCTAGACTCCACATAACGCTCCTGTAGCTGAATGTAATCGCTTATAAGTGCTAGCATTGCACGCTTCTAAGAATGATTGCATTTTGTGAAAGTTGACCGAACTGTGAACTGTGAACTGTAGGACTTACCCGAACCAACTCACTTATCTGTTTCCTCCACATGGCTATGTTCTGAGCAAAAACAGCATAAATAACACATTTCTAGGGTATATTTAAGGGAATAGCAATTTACCTTCGCCTCGAGAATTTTAGCTTTTTCGTTGTCTGATAACAAGCGCAGCTGTTGAGGGAACGAGAGACTCCATCTAATGAGACATTCCATCACACATCTGGGCCTGAAACAGCTCCACATTGTAGAATATTGAATTTGGAATTTTGATATTAGTTTTGTTCAAAATAGCATGTATTTGGAACAGAATTACGGTTGCCTACTGTTTTGTAAACGTTGTTCTGGGCATAATATTTTGCCGAATCAATTTTCAGAAACACAATTTCAATTATCTGCTTGCTGTGTTCTCGCAGCTCGTGATTCTTTCAACTCTAGATTGCCGTCTACGGCCCCACTATCTTCATTTTTTTTCAGCGCCTTGAGCATTTTGTTTCGCAGCTTTTGCAGCTGCTCCCCTTGCTGAAGCGAACATAAAATGGGGTTGGTTTTTGGCAGTTCTTAAATATATTTTCAATACGAACAATTTTCAAAAAGTGCACATTCTCTACGGCCTTGGCTCTTTCGTAAATCTCTTTGGTATAAGAGCGGAACATGATATTCAAAAATCCTTGTGGCAAATCATCAAATATGGGCTTCAACAAGCTACTAGACTTGAGCACTTTATGAACCGGCAGCATTTCGCTCTTACAAAAAAAAAAAAAAAAAATTACTAAAAATTTAAAATAAAATATAAAGGTATGAAATGAGGTTTTAATTTTGAAAAGAGTTTACAAAGTTTAATTTTGACGGAAATCATTATTCAGAATTTTTGTAAACAGCGCCTACTAAGGTACGTATGCTTATCAATCCTTGTGGGTTGAATTTTCTTCGCGTTTCTCCATATTTCTCTTCAGGTCCTCCAGCTCTTTACCCAATCTCTTAATTTCCTCCCTGATTTGTTTTTGATTTTCGATAATACGTTGAAACTGTTCGTATTGCTTTAAAAAGAAATTGAAGAAATGTATACCAAAAAATGAAACCGAATGCCATTCAAAGTACTCACTATTTTCCGAAAGTGGACGTTTTCACTTGCTTTGCCCCTTTCACGAATTTCATTGCAGTAATGTCTGGTTATTAATGGACCTATCATAGCTGGGATTGTGCTTTTTATAGAGAAGCTATTTATGTACCACAACATTTTTACAGCGGCCCTTAGACTGAAGGTTCCCATGACAAACATTTCGAAATTCTGATTTAAATTTAAGTATTTTTTGTAATATTTTCCAAAAGCACCTACTCAGGTTTAAATGACATTTCGAAATTGAAACCAAAATGAACAGACTCGCTCATGAATCTGCTGCTTTTATATTTGCAACAGATTCATGATCGAGTCTTTGAGGCTTTACTCTATCTAAAAATATAAGGGATCGTAGTTGCGAACTTTTCTCGGTAGAAAAATTCACATTTGGTCCGCCCCTGTCAAGGTTTTTGGTGTGGATATTGTCAGGCATTCCTCTGGCAAAGAAAATCATTCTCAAAATTTGAAAAAAAAATAAAAGAACACAATTTGTTACCTACCTAGATCCTATAGTAAAATAACATGACTAAGCAAGTTTTAGAGAACTCGACGTTCTCTTAGCGCGTTCTCAATTTCCTCTAGCGTATCATTTAGGTCCGTGATATTCCTATCTAGTTCCCTTCGTTTAGCTAGCTTTGTCCGTCTTAATGCCCGTAGCTGTTCATATTGCTAGATGGAAAAGAAACAAATTAATAAGAAAATGGAATCATTTAAATTACTAACGATTTTCAGAAAGTAAACGTTTTCCATGGCTTTGCCCCTCTCGTGAAGCTTCTCAGTATAATGCCTAAGTAAATCGTTTGCAATTAGCTTAGTAATAGTAACTATCAAAAAAAAAGAAGAAAGACTTACTTTAGGTATTTTAAGGACCACACACTATGGGCTTTCAATAGATTGAAAGCATTTCTATATTTATTCTGCAGAACAGTTGCCATATTAAATGTCGCTACAGCCAAAAAATGTAGGTTGGAATAGAATCAAAAATTTTGAAATTTAATTTTTCCTAATATATAAACATATTGCTTAAAACCTTAAGGCAACTGAATATATTTCCAATGACTACGTGACAGCAGACATTTTTGATAATATGCTCGTATATGTTCTTGGCTAGGAAGTTCAATGAGTTGATATATGAAGCCAGTTTAAATATCAGGCACTGAACTTAAATTGAATAAGCTAAAAACAATGTGAATGCATTTAACAGGAGCAAAAGCACAGCCTTTTATTCAAAATGTCGCCTTTCTATGCGATTCTCATTTATTTAAGCACCGCATTTCGACGATGGAAGCCGAACACAAGAAAAACCCAGTTTTAAATATTATTAGAGTAGTGCACCATATATTAAGATAAAAAATACAACGGTTTTTAATTTAAGAAACGATGTAGAGAGTCATTTTTTTTGAATTGAATTGATCTTTCATACGGTTGGCTTCCTCGGACTATTTTTCATTAAATTTGGCACTGTTCAACTTTGCTAGGGCGTATCTAATTTCATCTTCCAATATTGTTATTTTATAGTCAAGCATTTTGCGTTCGTATAGTTTTCTATTTCTTATTAAACTCATTTGCGAATGTAGCTTTGGATAGATAAATAATTAGTAACAAGGAGAGGAGGCTCATTTATAGAATACAAACTATTTTCAAGGAGTTCGAATAATTATCACCTCTGCCCTTCGATCTATACGTTTTATCGCTGTAATGCCTGGATAATATATGATGATAGATAATTACGTTTTGCCCCAGATATCGGAGAACTCACTTGAATGTGTGTTGATAAGCTGATCTTAAGGGTCTCAAGAAGTTCAGTGCAGCTCTCTTTGTTTGCCCAAAGAAGCCTTCCATAATTAGTATCTGAAAAAGTAAAAAAGAAAAACTAAAATTTTGAGCAGGCACACCCAGATTTAAAAAGTTGATTGAAATTTGGACTGAAAGAGACTGACATTAGAAAATATGTTAGCAATTGCTCCTACGATTTGACAAAACAGCTATTCAGCTGGTCGTCTTCTTTTCGCGTTCATCATTTTTCTTCTTGATGCTATCAATTTGCTTATCCAACTGTTCAATTCTATCTTTTATAACGTCCCTCTCCTTAAGTATTTTACTACGCAGTTCCTTCAGTTGTTCCCTTTGCTATAATAGGGCACATGTTTATTATCTGATGCACAGAAACCATATACAACCAAACCATTTTTAAGAAGTTCACACTTTCCTTAACCTTGCCCGTCTCCCGAATCCTCTCGGTGTACCTAGTGTGCATTGTAGAGCTGAGCTGAGTAGAGCAGATCGGACCTTTTCTGGTTAGCATGCACACTTACTTAATAACCTGTTGACAGTAGACTTGTTGGGGCTGCAACAATCGAAGATTTTTGGCAATGAAGGTAGAGACGGTTAGCAAATTTTGAGCCATTTTAATAATGTTTCACTGAAAATTTGGAAAAATTATAAATTTACATGAAAATAGAGAATTAAATGAGTATAGAAAATAAGGGTCCGACAGAAATAAAAATTGTGAAGGCTAAGGGCAGGCTAAATAGTTCATAAAAAGGCTATAAACAAAACATGTTAGGGATTAATTCGCGTCATCCTTAGAGCTAAAATCCAATGAACAGAAATCGAATATGAGCAGAAATGTGAGCTAAATGCTATTGATATGCCCTTCAATAGCAACTCTTTCCCTCCAGAGAAAAACACGTTAGCTATATTAAACTATTGTAATTTATTTCACTCAATTTTTTGATCGTGAAGGTAAAACAGCTGTGTGATCAACTCTCTCAACTAGGCGTACATGGTCCTGGGCTGACCAGGCTGACGTATGGGCGCATCATAATAGAAAGGACGCTGCTGTGGCCGCGACTGTGAGCCGCCCCTCCAGCTGTTGCCACCACTGTCGCGCGAAGGTTCGGCCTGGGCGCCGGGCAGCATGCCAAACGCTGCAATCAGCGCCAACAGCAAAAAGCAGAGTGCGTTGAATTTCATGTTGTTCTATGGGAAAACCTTTCTTCGACTAATTAGCCCGACTCACTGGGCGAGTCATTTATATAGACAGTTCGCAGTGCGCTTGTTGCGGCTGTGGTGAAGCACCGAGCGGGGTTTTTGTTTAGCATACAAAGAAACTTGCGTCTGTCACTGATAAGCTCACAGAAATCACCGCCTAATTTTGCTTGCTCTTCCTCTCTCGATCAGTGGTAAGTTCTGATGGTTCTCTCGCTTTCTGGGGCTCTCTATATTTTTTGCTCACGTTTCACTGGCTGAGCTGGTTCTGTGCTCGCCTGCTCCTGGGGCGTGATTTCTGCCGGCTTCTGCATCTGCATCACATCGATGTCGAATTCCATTTGCTTAATACTCCTCGTCATATCTGTTAACATAGACTCTACGCAACGCTGTCGCTGCATTAGCGCCTTGGAGCGTGCCTCCAGCTCGTTGCGCTCCTGGGAATTTGTATATCTGACTATATATCTATATAATATATGCATTTTCTTACCAAGCGCAGCTCCTCCAGCTTTAGATCCACACTGTTGCCCATTACATTGGCCAAATTAAAGTTGTTTTTGATCAAAAATTTCCTTGAAAGAGGTTTCTTATTTAAGTACTTGCTTAATTAATAATGCCTGAAGTGGTCTTACCAGTTGGTCAAATCTTTGGTCTGTTTTAGAATTTTGCGTATTATATTCGACATTTTCGATTAGTTAAACTGAGGCCAAGAATTTGATTTTTGATGAAAAATAGAAAGAAAACGAATTTAGTCTTCTAGTACACACAATTTTGATGTATACGCAAGTGTAACTAGGTTTTTCTAATATGAGATTAATGTTGATTTAACAAATTTGACCAAATCTTAAAGTGGATGTATTAAAAGTCGATGTCTTACAAGCGCCGCGCACTTGATGCTGGCATGCACTTTATTTGTGGACGTCACTGTGCTAATGCACACAATTGTAACTCTCGCTGCGTACTTTTAGGCTAATTTAAAAGTTAATTTTGGTAAATGTCAACTCATGAGTTGCGCACGTCGTCTGGGGGAAACAATATGTGTCCAATGACCTTGACCTTGCATTTCTCGATCAGCACCATGGAAAATCCATTTGTAAACAACTTTTGTGTGAATTGTTCGATTGTTATGAAAAATGGCATTCAACTGTGTTTTTGTATAAAAACTATCTATTCCGCTTAAAATGCATCTGAAAGGGATATGCAAGCAAGTCTATTTGATCTGCTAAGGGAATACAAGAACTCAAGAGCCTCCAGCTCTTGTGATCTGTGAGATCGAAGTTATGTATACACGATACAGGTATATATTTATATACGCACATTTGCATTCCGAATAAATTCCCAACTCAGTACAAATGCCAATTAAGATTATTGTTTTATGTAATAAAATAAATGTAATACAATTTCAATCGAAGGGTGTGTACTTTCTTCCTACCTGTTCCAAATTTATCAAAAATCGTTTGATTTTATACGCTTACGCTGACTTCCGACACCAGAAGCAATTTCAGAGTTAATTTACAGGCGAATAAATAATGCTTATAAGTCCAATTTAATGAATGACGTTGCGTAAAAGAATGTTCAGAATTTTAATTCAAAATGAAAACAAAACCAGTTTTCAATACGTACTTAAGGACTGTTAGATGCAAGATCTGGACGTGCATTAAATTTATTTACTACACATATTAAATAATAATACGAAATGAAAAAAAAAAAAACAAAACATTTAAAATTCTCCCATACAGATAGACAACAGTTAACAGCTTAAATAAGATCTCAGTCAAATGTTATTAATCAATGGGATAACCTGTTGACGACCCTAGAGAAGAAATATAAATTTCAAGTTTTATGCCAAAAGCGTGCATTAAATACAATTCTTTATTAAAGCATTTAGACAGTTCGTGTTTACTTTAAGAACCATACACAAAAATATAAACGCTAAATGCAATTAAGTTAAATGTCACGTTATAGTTTTAAGTGCTTCGAGAGTGTTTCAGGTGTTCACTTGTGCAAGTTGTTAAGGAAATCTTTGTGGCGCTGGATGGCCTCCTCGTGCTCCTTGATCTGCTGATGATGGAATTCGGCCTGATGGATCTGATCGTTCTTTAGGCGCTCCAATTGCTCCTTTTGCTGAAAAAAACAAACAAACAAAGTTTTGTTTGAGTAATTTATTATTGCAACGTGAGTTCAATTGATGGGCAAAAGTTAATTATACCTTAGCGATAATTGACAATATTGTATTCGAAGGTATTATTTACCGACTGCGCGCACGTTATAAAGCCGCTTAGCTATGGCGCAAAAGCCCCAGTGTCTGAGCGCCAACGCGAATATTAAGTAAAAATACTTTTAACACACACACACACACACACACACACAGACGAGTTCCCGAAAAATGTCTATTAACATCTTGTCATCGCATGCAAATTAGCTACCATATTATTAACTTGCGAATGAGAGAACATAAAAGCTATATAAGAGAAAAAGACTCACAACATATTATTTTTGGTGCTGCTGCCGTTGTTGCTGCTGTAGCATCTGCCTGAGATCCCAACCTGAACCTGAACCTGATTCTGTTTCTGTTATTGTGTATTGGCTGGCGTTGCCTTCGAGCCAGTTTTAGTTGTAAATTGGCAGCCGAACTGATGAAAACGCGAACAAAGAGCAAAGAATCTTCAAGCAGAAAGTGGATATTGGACTCAAGGCAATTATTGCTCCATCTGGCTAAATAGTGCTCAAAAGAACGACCGCAAATACAGCTAATTAAAAGTCAATATTTACGAATGCGGCTTAGCCCGACTTCAAGCCTAAACACTAAAATTATCAGCTCCAAAAAGAATACAAATATAGACACATATATTCTTCTATATAAACCGTTGATAAGCGCTGCCCATCACAATTCCATCCAGCACTTTGACAATTGAGCAATCATTCAAGATGAGACAGCGACGAGAAATAATGCGGCTGCCGCTGGCTTTGCCTCTGCTGCTCATTATCAGCACAAGTCTTGGGGAGGCTGGCTACAGCCCTGCCAATCTCGGTCCTAACTACAGGGCTCCCAGTGTCGGCAGCCTTCCTGCTGCGTCAGGTTTACGACGTCCCACACGCACGGTGGAAACGGTGCATCAATGGCGACAATTGGAGTACGGCTTCGCTTCGGAACAGGATCGTCAGAAGGCGCAGGCAGATGGTAATTTAATGGCGGACAATGGCACGCCCATCGATGTTCAGCCACATTATTTGCCCAACGGACAGGTGCGTGTGTTCACAACCGTGCCACGTTTTGTCACCGGCATACCCTACACTCTGGCCACCGTCTCGGATCAGTTGGGCAGCAATGGACCACAATTGCAGCCGTATCCGAGCTTTAACTGGCACAACAACAATGGTGACAACTGTGACCAGATCACCTCCGCATTTCGTGTAGCTGTAAGTAGCTAGAAGCTAAGTGCGTCCTTCTATGAGTTGCCTCATTGGTTAACTGCTTTCCAGATCTCGGAGTGCAATCAGTTGTGGGTCATTGATTCGGGCAGTGTTGGCGGCGTGCAGCGCTGCCCGCCGCAGTTGTTGCAGTTCGATCTCAACGACGATCGTTTGCTGCATCGCTTCCGTTTCCCCAATGAGACTTATGTGCCGAACGCCTCGCTTTTAATCACTCCCAATTTGCTGGTGCAGGATCCACCGCCGCGCGGCAACTGTGCACGCACCATCGTCTATGTGTCAGATGTCTCCTATCACGGCCTCGTCGTCTACGATCAACAGGCGAATGCGGCTTGGCGCATCGAAAATCGTTTCATGTACCCAGATCCCGACCATGGACAGCACACCATTGCCGGCGAGAGCTTCATTCTGATGGACGGCATCTTTGCCGTGAACAATGACAAACGCAATCTCTATTTCCATCCATTGGCCAGTGTCAGTGAGTACTCGGTGCCTCTGAGCGTGCTGAACAGACGGGAGAACTGGGAGGATGCTGTGGATGCCATGCCGGAGCAATTCAAGCTGCTGGGCAGGCGTAAAAGCGAATGTGCCGCCTCCGCCATTGACAGTCGCAATAATCTCTACTGTGTCACCTTCAATCCCATCAAGCTGTTCGCCTGGAACACTAACACGCCCTACAACACACGCAACTTTGGCAACCTGCCAGCCAAGTCTAGTGAGCTGCAGTTTGTTAGCGGCATGAAGGTGGTGCGCAATGCCGGCGGCCAGGAGGAGCTCTGGATGTTCTCGAACCGTTTTCAGGTAAGCGCATTCCGTGTCAACCTGTTCCGTGCACGCTTCTTATGCTGCCTGATTTTCGTCCTGTTGCAGAAAATTTCAAGCGGCACATTAAATTCGAACGAGATCAATTTCCGCATTTTGCGCCGTCCGCTGGACGACATACACAGTGGGGTATTCTTTGCCAGCGACGACGATCTGGCCAATCGTTTGGTCTTTAGTTAATCTGTCCATAAGTCGACTACGTATAAGTGGCAATTGGTTACCCAAAACAAACCAGGTCAAATAATGCCAGGTCAATGGAGTTACAGTGAATGCTCGCAAATTAGAACGCTTCAATTAGAGAGTTGATTTTAATGTGCGAAAAAATTCTAATTTCTGATTACCCAAAAATTGTTAAATATAAAAAAGGGTAAACAAAACAAACAGATTATACAATTAATTATAATTTTTTAGTTATTTAGTTGCCTAATCGTAATATTATTCAAAATTCAACAGTAAATATGGAAAGCAATTAAATTACATTACTTCACACAACATTTACCCCTCGAGCAGGGGTATTTGTATAGTCAAGCAGCATTGCGTTATGCTGGTCGGCTAGTGAAACTATATTTATCGCTAATATTTTTGTCAACAGAGTTCAAAGTCGCCTTATCGCCAATGCTACGCATTGAGGATGATTTCGCGGACATGTGGAACAAGTGGAATTTGATTAAAAGCAACTGGTTAACATTAAAACTGGATCCGGTTAAAAATAAGCAACAAATAAACTAAACAGAAGCTAATCAAACGAATATTGAATACTCTTGGGCAAGCCTGATTATTGGAGAAAGCTACAAATACGAATTTCAAACTAAGAGATGACTGAGCATTATGCAAACAACATGCAGAAAGAGAAATCTTACTTCGACACCTTTAGTTAACTCTTTGGCAAAGTGAGAGAGTATTTTGATTAAATTAGAAATTAGCATAAGATCTGCGAGAAGCACCTTGTTTGGTATAATCAACCTTCAATCGGTTTACTCTTTAGCAAAGCAAACAGGGAGATCAAATAGCACAAAGACCCAGATCAAAGTAGTGAAACCTTGTTGTTTTTCGAGGGAAAAACCATACTCAACGTCAAGTCTTAAGCAAACGGAAAGTTCAGTTTGCCTAAGATCTCAGCCGAATACAAGACGTTAGTCACAAAAGCCCGCGATTAGAGTATATGTGATTTATTGCTGCGACACTTACGGGGGGCAATGGACTCTACCTTGACAGCGTATTCTGCTGCACAGTGTGGCAGCTGGAAGTGGCTGGAAGGCGTTCATAATTAGCCCCTGCGAATTGCACAGCTTTTTTGGAAGTTATTTTTTCGGTTGATATAAACAAGATCGTTACAATGAGAATTTCAATGCAAGCTTTTAATGTGCAATTAAACCAGTTTACCACAAAGCTGACCCAATTGACCAGGTCTGGTCTGGTTAGGCGGATTAGAAAGACATGGACCGCACGCTGGCGACGCAAGCGCAGTTACAATTTTGGCCTTACGTGGCGCAGATCACACGAAAGTGAATGGATTACAGCAGCAGCATGGAACACCATCCAGGCCTAAGGATAATAGCACTGCTTAGCTGTGTGCTCGGCATTGTGGCAGGACAATATGCCACGGCACCTGGCATTGGATACGACTCCAAGGCGTTGGAGAGAGTCTTTGAGGCGCGCAACCTGCAGCTGAGCTTCCCAACGCCCGAGGAACGGGAGCGTGTACTGCGCGCAGGTCTCTATGATCCTGGCAATGTCGTGCCCATCGATGTGGATGTCTACTACACACGTAAGTAAATGACAATCGAAATATTAAGCTAAAGCAAAGCAAAAAGCTCTAAAGATGACATCATTCTCCTTTGTTGTGCTGCAAGTTTCATCCCAGATTTGACTAAATATTAACTTTCATTCTCTTAGATGGTGACAAGACGCCCTCCATCTTTGTGACCATACCGCGCTTCACTAAGGGCGTGCCCTACTCCCTGGCCTTTGTGACCAACGAGGTAGGAGAGAATGGCACCGAGTTGCGTGCCTATCCCAGCTACGATTGGCATCAATCCCATGGCGCCGACTGCAACGGCCTGACATCCGTATATCGCACACAGATCGACGAGTGTGGACGCATGTGGATATTGGACAGTGGCGAGATTGACTTTGTGCAGCACTGCCCGCCGCAGCTGTACGCCCTTGACTTGGCTAGTGGGGGCGTGGTGCATCATTACCGCATGCCCAAGGATATGTATAAGACGGGTGTCAGTCGCTTTGTGACGCCCACCATTGATCTGGATGCACACAATTGCGATGTGGGCCACGTTTACATGGCTGACTCTATTGGAGATGGCATTGTGGTCTATGACATGGCCGCACAAAAATCGTGGCGCATCGAGAACAAGTACACCTATCCGCATCCAGACTTTGGCACCTTTACGATAGCCGGCGAGAGTTTCCAGCTATGGGATGGCACCGTGGCTCTCACACTAACCCCACACGGGCTGGCTGGGCACATGGAGCGTATGCTGTATTTCCACTCGCTATCCAGCGATTGGCAAATGGCAATACCACTGCAAGTGGTCAACAATGCTAGCATCTGGAAGCGAAACGATGTCAGCGCTGGGCTGGATCAGTTCCTGCTGCTGGGCAAGCGAGGCAGCCAGTGTGTGGCCGCAGCCATGAGCGAGACAGGCATGTTGCTCTGCGGCTTGGTACAGCCGACCAGTATACTGGCTTGGAACATACGCCAAGCGTACAATCATGAGAATCTATCCGTACTGATCCAGGATCAGCAACGACTGCAATTTATCAGCGGTCTTAAGATTGTACGAAACCACGAAGGCAAGGAAGAGCTATGGGCGCTCTCGAATCGCCTACAAAAGGCTTTTGGAGCGGGACTCAATTTCAAAGAAGTCAACTTTCGCATACAGAAGTGCGGCATTCATGAGCTGCTCCATGGACAGCCCTGTTACTAAGCCCAATCTCAATCTGGTCAGTCTTTTTGAACCCCAGTGTTGCCACCTTTTTTTTTTTCTTTTCTCGATTCTTCTACATTTTTTAGCACATTCGCCATGCAACAACGAAATTGCGGTAAAATTTTAAAGCATTTTTCATTTAGTGTGACCTAAACGCCATTTGAATAAAGTGTACATATTTGCGTTTAGCTGAAGTCAATTGCAGTTTACTTACCTTCTTGTAGAAGAACTCCTCCTCGCGGGCAGCCTCCAGTTTGCCAAAGGCGCCACCAGCAGCACGAATGGAGCCGCCGCCACCGCCGCCCTGGCCGGCACCGCTGCCCAAGTCGCCTAGCTGGCTACCGCTCATTTTCGCCAATCTGTAGTGAGGGCAGCGCAATACAAAGAAAGCATTAGAACTTTTGCACTTGTTATGTAATAATGAAGTCATAGGCGCACACACACATACACAAATGCACATATTGCCGGGTCAAGAGTAATGAAATTTTGTGATCAAATTATCTTATCAGTAATAATTTACGAAAGTTACGTATGTGCGTGTTAGAAAAATCATTTTGTGTTATGTTTTTTGTGAGTATAACAAAATACCATAGCTGTATAAAGGTGTTAACCAATTAGCATTTAATTATAGGTTAAAAACTTACTGTACTCCTGCGGGGTACAAGCGGGCAGTGCTACGACGTACAACGAACATTTCTCTCAATAAGTTATGCAAAAACGGATGTAAAAAATCTGGAAAAAGAAAATACAGCTATTAAACCACGAAAATCGACGAGAAATTTCCCCAAGCAATTGGATTCCACATAATATAAACAATGAAAAGCCACAAGCATACACATTTACATTTTTATTTGTGTATCAAGATACTTATGGGTATGTAGCGCTTTTCTTTATTATTTTCACACAAAGAAAAACATTAAATTATATGTATATATATATGTATAGAACAATTTTATTGTGGCGCAAAAAACCTACCTGACTTCTCTGCGTGTTAAACTTGTATGTCGCAAGTGTGCCCGAAGCTTCGAGCCGGTTGCTTTTGGGGCTGCCACTATATTTAATAGGTTAATGCTGCCACTTCTTTTCACTCATTAAATGCATGACTAAATTTATACGATCTATCATGCAAAATTATGTTTTCGCAACTAACACTTTAAATTATTTACTTTAATTTATATACAATCAACATTCTTTAAGTTTATAAAAATACCACTGTATTCACCAAAATGCAGATTGTATGGTTCTGCTCATACCTAAGCAGCATACTATTTAACAGGGTGGCAACGCCATTTCGGTAATTTTAACATATCGGTGCTACGGTCACACTTTATAAGTTCTCAACATAATTTTGCCGACGGACGCTTGTTTATTTGTTTAATATAAATTTACTTTATTTAAGTATACAAATTAATATTATAACATATAAACGGGTCATAATTGCAAGCCAAAATGGCCGATGCCGATGATGGAGCCGAGCTGCTCTTCTTCGACACTTTCTCACACGAGGAAGTTACCGTAAGTTCAATTTGTGTTTTTTCAGTATCAACATGTGTGTGTGCATTAAAAACGTTTTCAAATTGCCAAAGGATATTAATTTGGACCTGGTTCAGTTCCCGAAGCCTGTTTTCATAACACAAGTGCGCATTATTCCACTGGGCGCCCGAGTGCAAGCGGATTTTCCAGGCGGCGTTCGTCTTGGTGCCACGAATCCTTCAAAATTTGACCTGGAGTTCTTTGTTAATGATCTGGGCATGCCGGGCGCTTCGGCGTTTGAGAATTTGGGACTGCTCCGTTACAATCAGAACGATTGCATACATCTCGACTGCTCGCAGGAGAAGATACCAACGGATGGTCTCGTGCTGCGGGGCTGGTACAGTGCCATTACGCTAGCTGTCTATGGCATACTAACCAACTCGGTAACGGAGCCCATTGCCAGCCCAACGTTGCCCTGTGAGCCGGCTATGACCGGACCCGAGATGTGCAATCTTAGCGGAGAGGCCCATAATGTGCTGCTACCGGATGAAGTGCTCAAAGACGACTGGTCAGAGCCAATGCAAAGCGAGCTGCTGGTTTCAGCGGCCCACAAGACCAGCGTCAGCGTTAGCGACTACGAGCACGAGGACATGGAATATGGCATGTCACGCGATCATTACCATCAGCATGCGGATGAGGAACAACGCGAATTGCGTCGCTTGCGACGTTCCACGCACTCGACAGATCATTCGCCACCACCGCTACCGCTACGCACGCACACCCACTCAGAGAGCAACGACAGGGAATACCTGCGCTGGTGAGTAGAGTATAACGTGAGACTGTTCTATTCATTCTCTAATCTTTCTCTGTACAGTTCTCGTGACAAGGCACCTCGTGATTGGTCGCGATCGCCAGAGTATTCGAGCCACCGCTCACGTCGCAAACGTTCGGAACGCTCGCGTTCGGATGCAGACGAACACAAGTGGCCGCGGACACCACCAGTTTCAATTGACTCGCCCACACGTCCGCGCTCCCCGGACCTCATGGATTACGACGATGACGATACACGTTCGCACTATAAACTACAGAGTTCACACGGTTATCGACACTCGGCGGAATCGTTGCCACGCGAGCGCGAAGAAGAGGAGCGGGAGCGTGAGCGAGAGCGCTCAGATACACCACAGGAGCAATTTGAGCCCATTTTAAGTGATGACGAGATCATTGGTGATGATCTAGAAGAAGAAGACGACGGAGTTGACGCGGCTGCAGCGGCTGAATATGAACGCGAACTGGAGGCAGCTGCAGCTGCTGCTCCGCCGGCCATAGACGCCTTCGAGCCATGGCAGCGTCCACTACTGAAATTCGACGGTGACTTGCAGGCGCATTTCAGTAAAGAGCTCGATACCCTTCGGCTACTCTTCAAGAAGCTATCGCTGCAGATCCGTTGGGACAATGTGAGCGCCTTCAACGAGGAGCACGGCGGCGTCACTGTAGACGAGCGCGAACAGTTCGTCTACCTGGGCGAGCAGCTAAACAATCAGCTGGGCTACCTAACGCAGCACTACAAGCGGCGCAATTTTGTGCTGCAGCAGTTCTTCAAGAATGACGAATCGCATCTGCGTCAAGCAGCGAATATATTACAAATAGCGTTGAGCTTCCAGGCGGCCTGCATGCAACCGCAGCCAGCCTTTAAAATACGGCACATAAAGCTGGGCGCACGCATAGCTGAGTTGCTGTGTAACAACGAGCAACTATTCCGGCATCTGCTGCAGCAGCATAATTTTGATCCATTTGAAGCTGTCTTTGCTCTCTACAAGGAGCCTTACATGGCGTTGTCTATCAAGCTGCTGCTTCTAAAGGCTGTCTACGCTATGCTGGACACACAGCTCGGCATCAAACACTTTTTGGCTGGCAATACCAACGGCTATCAGCTGATTGTGGAGTCAATCAAAACGGCCAAGCTAACCCGCACGAAATACGCTCTGCAGGCCATCATCAAGAAGCTGCATCTCTATGAGGCTCTAGAGAGTGTTCGCAACAGCTGCAATCAGCTCTTCGTGCGCAAAATGGAACGACCGCCGCAGGAAATTTGTCAAGAAATCGAATATGCATTTGAAATGCTCATGGATGCTTTGGTGGCTAACCAGCTAAGCTTTCAGCAGCCGCGCCGCTTTCTACCCGTCTCCAAGAAATTCGAATTGGTCACCGATCCAAATGCGCAGCGCAGCTTTGGCAATGCGCTGCAATCCTACTTTAAGCAGCACGCACTGGCTGAGTCCCTGCTGCTGATTCTAAGCAATTCAAAGGAACTGCCGGCCACCACATTCTTGTGCACACTGGATTTGATGCATGCTCTGCTCAAATCGCACGTGGGCATCGATTACTTTGTAGACGATGCATTCGAAGCGACGCAACTTATTGTCGCCATACTGTTGGGTCTGGATGAAGTGCCTACGATGCCCAAGCCGGAAATAGTCAAGGAGCCAGAGCAAGAAGGTAGGTGTCTTATTTAACTGAAGCTTCAAGAAATTTACAATTAATTTGCGTTTCCTACAGTTAAAACAGAGCAGATAGATAAACCTGTGGAAACTTCAGACACCTCGGAAAAGGAAGTAGAGGCAAAAGTTGAAACTTCACCCGGCGCAACTGTGGCTATTGATGTTGCGGTGCAAACGGAGCCAACACCCGTCAAAGTACTTCAGAAGTTGGCGCCCATTCTTCGGCCCGTTTTGCCCCGCTTGGCGCGTTTGGGTATTGAGCTGGCCTACAAAGTACAGACACGCTACCATCTGGATGCGATTGTCTTTACGGCAGCAGCGCCCGAGTACGATGCCATTAAACTGGCCACGCACATGCACTCGATATACTCCCAGACCTGCGATCCGGCTGGTCGGCAGCATACCATTGAGGTGCTCGGACTTAATAATAATCTGAAGATATTCATGGACCTCATTAAAAAGGAACAGCGGCTGCAATCCCAGCGACAGCTGAGCTCGCCGGGCACTAAATACAAGAGTCCAGTTCTTAGTTATGCGGTGGACATGGTCGACGCTTGTGTACGCTACTGCGAGCAGCTCGACTATCTTATTGAGCATGGCGCAGTCATACTGGAGCTGGCCAAGAACCATGAAACCTTTGAGCCCTCTGTGTCGGCCGTGCTACAGGAGATGTATGTGTACATGAAGCCATTGGAGGCCATAAATGTGTTTATCTACGATGACATAATGCCCCTGGTTGAGGTAATTGGACGATCCCTGGACTATCTGACCACATTTCCGGGTGATTTGATAATGGCCTTGCGTATACTGCGTTTCTTGGTCACCACCAAGTCGACACCGCCACCCGGCATCAAGCAATCCAAGCGTGTGGGCACCGAGGAGCTGAAACATCGCTTTGTGGCTCTCCAGCTGTACGCAGCAGACGGCGTGCAGCTAATGATTCAGATAATGGAACGGCTATGCACGTATTTTGAGCAGCCCGGTATGCATGCGCCCGCCCTGATGACCATTCAGGGTGTCCATTGCTGCCAGATTATGTTGCCTACGCTGCAAATACTGCGCGAGCTGCTCTCCTATGCCATTCTGTGCCGCGATGGCACCTTCAAAGATCTGACCTCCATTGATCATCTTGTCAAGGTATATTTTCTGCTCTACTATTATCCAACACGCTGCCAGGCCGGCGCCGAGGTGGAGCAGTGCAAACTAGAGGTGGTGCAGACTCTTTTGGCCTATACACAGCCGCACGAGCAGGACGAGGAGTCGCTGCATAAGTCGCTGTGGACGCAAATGATCCGCGAGGTGCTGAAAAACATCGATGGACCGGCCAACTTTATACCGGGTCTCAAGTTGTTGGCGGAACTGCTTCCGCTGCCGTTGCCCATGCCACAACCGTTGAGCGATCAATTGCAGCAGCAGCACAAACAGCGTTTGATCACCGAACGGAAACTGTGGTCCGCTCACTTGCATCCGCAGAGCGGACAAATTGCCAAGTTGGTGGAAGCGTTAGCGCCTTCTAGTTTCCCGCAGCTGTCAGAGCTGCTGCAGCGCGTCTGCATGCAGCTATCGGACTTGGCGCCCAATATGACGCTGCTGATAGCCAAGACGATTATGGAACTGCTGTGCAATGAATACCAGAGCTCCAACTGCATGCCGACCACCAATTTGGAGCGTCTGCTGCGTTTCTCCACGCGTCTGTGCGCCTTTGCCCCGCTCAAGAGCTCCATGCTGTCCATTTTATCGGGCAAATTCTGGGAGCTTTTCCAATCGCTGTTATCGCTAAACGAATTCAACGAGGTGGTATCCAATTGCCAGGAGGCGGTGCATCGCATACTGGACAGTTTCCTCGACTCGGGCATTTCTTTGATTTCACACAAATCCACAGCACAGCCGGCGCTTAATTTGTCTGCTGCACTGCCGCCCAAGGAGCTAATCCCACGCGTCATCGATGCCGTGTTCAGTAATTTGGCCAGCGTGGAGGTGACACACGGCATTTCCATTCTGGCAGTGCGCAATCTAGTTATACTCACCGAGCACGAGTAGGTACCAAGTGCTTCTTGACAAATTGCAGAAAACTAACATATTTTCCTTTATTCCTAGCTTCACCTTCTATCACCTGGCGCAGCTACTGAAGCAAAAGATTAGCGAGTTCCAGGCGTGGATGGAACGTGTTATCCTTCACAACGAGACAGTCGAGTATAATGCAAACATTGAGTCGTTAATTTTGCTGTTGCGATCCTTGACACAAATCGAGCCACCGCCTGGAATGTCTGCAATGCCACAGCGCACGCTTAAACTGGGCCCCGCTGAGCTCGTCCAGCTACTTGAGTTTCAGGATGTGGAGCTAGACAAACCGCCAGTGCTACAGCGCATACTCAAAGTGCTGGAGAAGCACAAAGCAGTGGCCAATGAGGCGGCGCTGTGTGATCTGAAACAGCTCATTGCACTGCAGGCAGCTAAGCAGGAGCAGGATACGCTCGCAGCAGCAGCGGCTGTTCCAATGGAAACTACAAACGAAAGCGATCCCAATGCCACTGGCAGCAGCAGCAGCAATGTCGTCGTCACAGGTGCACTGAACGTGGAACCATATCTGCCGCAAGCGGAGGGCATTGTCACTCAGTACGAGGCACGTCCCATATTTACACGTTTCTGTGCGACGGCTGATAATGTGCAGCTAACGGCGCGTTACTGGTTGGAACCTCTGCCCATTGAGGTTATCGAGGATATGGATGAGCCGCTGTACGAGCGCATTGCCTGCGATTTGACTGATTTGGCCAATGTGTGCCTGAATCCCGATCTGAATCTCACGGGCGATTGCAAGCGTGTACTGCATTTATCGGGCTCACCGCAATCCAATCGCGAGCTGACACCAACAGCACCCTGTTTCCGTACCCGACGTGTCGAGGTGGAGCCCGCCACAGGGCGGCCCGAAAAGAAAATGTTTGTGAGCGCAGTGCGTGGCCGAGGCTTTGCCAGACCGCCACCCTCGCGCGGCGATCTATTCCGATCGAGGCCGCCAAACACTTCGCGGCCGCCATCGTTGCATGTCGACGATTTTCTGGCGCTGGAGACGTGCGGCGCACAGCCCACGGGGCCAACGGGTTACAATAAAATACCCTCAATGCTGCGCGGCTCGCGTGTGGGTCGCAATCGCGGCTCACGCATCTCCGCGGCAGCTGCGTACAGGTAAACACTTTAAGATCTACTAGACGTCGTATCCTTAACTAATTATTTGTGTTTTTCGTTTCCAGACAAAAGAAACTGTTGCGCATTGGCTCACCCTCCAGCTGGTCGGAGTCGACAGGCCCGCCGTATCGCTCCGGCAATGCTGAGACGCATTTTAGCGGCGGGGGCGACGCCCACTATACATCGCCACATTACAGTGGACGATCTCGTGGGCGTGGCTTGCGCTCAAGACCACCCTATTTGCGTTAAAATCAGCGCCGCAAATGTTTTTGTGTATATTCGATTTATACAATTTGTACGTAACGTGATTAAATTTAAGATTTCTCTGTAACAACACAATTTAAGCGCACATCGTGCTCCTCCACGGGCAGCTCCTCGTTACTAACGATCTGTTCGTTAAGGGCCAGCGCCATAATGGTCGTCTTCTTGTGTGGATACTTATCCGCGTGCTGCTTTAAATATTTATCGTAGTAGCCCATGCCGTGGCCCAGGCGATCACCTCTACGCGTGAACGCCACACCCGGCACAATGAAGAGATCAATGCCATGGCCTGCAAGATTGGGTAAGTTTCTCTATAACTATAGCATATATATTTATTGCCTACCATTTGTCATGGCATCCTCGCGGTTTTCCTTGAAATCCGGCTGTTTAATGTTCCATTTGGTCAGGGGCAAACCCTCGTATTCCTGCATATCCCTCAAACGCACCATTTTCATCTTTGTACCCTGATAGCTGGGCACAAATACCATCTTTTCCAGTCTGAACATCTCACGGATTATCGCCGTGGTGTCCAGCTCGTCGCTGGTGCTCAAATAGATGCTAACGCGCTGCGCCTGACGAAATGCCTCATTCTGCAACACCTGTCAAGAATAGACATATATGTTGTTTACTTAGATCTTGAGGTGATTTTGTATATACCGACCCTTGAGGTCACAACCTGCGACTGCTTCGCTATGACCTCGGGCGTTAGGCAGCTGAGGATCTCCTTCATGTGTTTCCTCAGCGCGACTTTCAGGCCGTTCTGGATGGTAGCTGCCATGATGCGCACACTTGTCCTAACCGGTAATAACTGTTTTCTGTTTACTGTCGTCTGCAGCCTCAATGGCTCTCTGTCTGTCGATTATCCGCTTATCAGTAAATGTGAGCGTTATCAGCTCTTCATGCTCTCTCCCAATTCGTAAACAATCGTCAGGTCGGCTCTTATGTATATAAATGTATATAGTATTATTTAACAATGTTAGCAGATAGCGCTAGACAAACGTTAAATTAGGCTGCGCATTTGTGTAAAATTGATGTTTCTTAGAAAATTGCAAGCAATCTTTCTCAAATGGTTGCTTTGTATGTGTATTTACTGTAGTCGCTTAAAGGCTGGTACACACTTGCTGACAGCGCTCGTCGCCTTAAATTTAGCACTAAAAATGACAGCAGCTGTTGCAGCCAGTGCTGCCAATTCAGCTTGATTCCCGTCATATTTGAGGTTTTGTGAAGATGAAATTGCGCCAAAATTTGAAAACAGCGCGCATCTCTGTTTCGATTTATTAACATTTTAATCGAAAATATCGATTTGAAATATATTTCTTATTTTCTGAGCTATAAAGATATAAGAAGCTAGGTACAAAGCTTTTTGCAAAATTAAAGAAGACATTCGTAGAAAATATTCGAATATTTGAGATATATTATTAATAATAAAAAAAACCTAAAACAGAATAATTTTTAAGGGAGGGTTCAAATATCCTTAGTCTTTCTCTACGTGTTATATATGAAGATACACATCCAGTTGTTGTTGTTGACAGAGAACCGTAATATTTTTGTGAGGCGTTAGTTCAGTAAACAATTTGTGAATCTGGGTAAATTATCTTATCGTAGGTGATCCAGCAACAATAGTTCTTCTAGTGTAACTTTGTTGTTTTGTAGTCGTTGTTCTATCAGACGATCAGCTCTCTCGATTTGTTCGGTTGTCAGCTCGTCCTTATAGCCATTCACCTTGCCGCTGCGTACAAAGCTAGAAGATAAATGATATAAATATAAATAAACTATGTTAAGCATTTATTTCACATGTTGACCTACTTGTAAATAGTTTTAAGGGCGTTTTCATGTTTGACATCAGCAAGTTCCCAGTTGTGATTTGTGGTTGGATTTTCTAAGAAAATAAAAGGACTACAGAAACGTTCCGATTCCCCTTCAGTTGGTGACTTACTTTTCATTTCTTCGAACGACAAATGCTTAAGTAGGCGTTCCATTTGCTGCTCCGTTACAGTCTTGCCCAGAAATTTGCAGAGGTCCTCAATAACAGCTCGCAGATCGAGTTTCATGCGCTCGAAGCTGGTGTAGTATACCCAAGGCTCGTTGCGCAGTTGATAGAACTCAGCTGCATGTTCGATGGATTCCAGTTTGATATTCTCGCCATCTAGACAGCCGTTGAAAAATTGCTCCAACGTGAGGCCATAGTTGTAGCCAATGGTAACTCCGTGATAATAAGCTGAAACCCAGGCGTCCTTGGGATTTCGAAAGACATAAACCACTTTCGCCTTTTTCTGCCAGAGCTGAACGGGCAACAAGGCGAGCGGCAGATGGGATTTGATTAGGCGTGGCGACGGCAACTCTTGTACGGGCTTCAGAGCTCTTTGCTCATCGGTGTGCATTACAAAATCATATCTAAGGCCAGGCATTATATATAGATTGCCTCGTTATGATCTACATACGTACTCTAGAAAGGGGGAGCGTAGTTCCAAGTGCTTGGACAGTGCCGCTTCGAAATTGCAGTCATTTAGCAATAGCCAAAGTAGTTCCTGCATCCAAGTGGTGCCGCTTTTGGGATTCGTAATCACCCAAACATCATCCTCCAATACCTCCATGTTGTGAATCATTTCTGGAAATGATTTAGCCGGACTGCGAAAGTAAAGTTTCCGCTCGGCCCAGTTTTTGTCAATTAGATTGACCGGATAGCTCTTTGGGGTGATCCGCTCGTACTGCATTTCTAAGCTTTACTAACGCAATATCTGGTTATATGTCGTTGATATACTAGAGACCACGCATAACGAAACAAAAAGAAGAGATTTCTTTGCTCTTAATATTTTGTAAAACCAGCTCTTTGTGGCAGAAATTGCTCAGCTGTAATCAAAATTAATGTTAAGCTCTCTGCGCGCAAATATGATAGTAAAAAGAATGTGATTGTCGAGTATGCTCGAATGGGGGATACCTATTACATTTATCTATAACATTTCTATACTCATGTACAGAATCTTATGGATTTTCAGTTCACTTTTGTGCTCACACTGTTAGATGGTAATACCTAGTTTGATTATTCTACTAATACTGATTGTATATATATATATTTTCACCAAAAGAATTGCAGATAACTCTGTTTGGGAATACGTGCAATAGCTTGCTCTTTTAAAAATAACGTGATTTATTATCAGTTTGATTGCGAATTTGCACTCAATTGATAGCATTATAGATGAATATGCATGCGTAAATATGAGAAGAAAATTTAATATAAAGCTGATTACAAAATAGAATTGGGTTTAAAAATCCAATTAATTTAAACATTCATAATGTAGTTTATCTGTAGCTTATCATTTGTCACTGTTCAACCAAGGCAGATTTCACTGTATTCATATGTGAAGTGCAAGCTGATTGTAAAATGGCAGCTTCTCGCGTTTTCTCGTTAATAGTTGCAGTTGTTTGTGCTTAAGCACACTTATGTGCTTGTAAAGTACCCAACCATTTATTATTAACAAATACATATAGCTGTAGTATAAGCATACTGATGCTTGTATGCATATATCACATTAGCTTACAATCTATTCAATGTGATTAATCGACGCGCGCTTACAACAGTGTCTTGGTAATTGCCTGTTCATTGTACTTGCTGTAAGTTGCAAAATCATCCATGTGTAATTTGTAGTCCCTGAGATTGACGTCGGACCAAAGATCAAATTCGCGTATCACGTCCGCCGTCATTTCGTCCTTGTGGCTGCCCACGACGCCGCGTCGCACAAACCTATGTGGAGCAACACTTTTTAGACGTACAGCAGTTATCTCCTGGGCATCCAAATGCAAGTGTGGCTTACCTGAACTCCTCCACTTCGCGGCCGGCGGCTGCCTTCATACTCTCGAACTCCTTGGCATGATTGCAGGCGGGATTGTCGCGCATGCTCTCAAAGGAGAGATGCTTCTTCATTTGTTGCACCTGGTCAACGCTGACGGGACGCTGCAGGAAACGCGCCACATCTTCAATAACCTGGCCGAGCTGAGTCTTCATGCGCTCGTAGCTGGTGAAGTAGATGTGCGGCTCGTGGCGTAGCTGCCAGAAGTCGAGAATATGTGGCCAACAGGGCGTAAAGTTCACATAGCCATCGATGAACGAATGCATGAAATCATCCTTTGTGCCTTGGTAGCCGACCATGCCGCGCCAATGATGAAAATATGAAATGGCCGCATCCTTGGGATTGCGATACACATAGATGATCTTCGGCTTCTTGGTCCATATTTGGCGGGGCAGCAGCCATGCGGGCAAATGGGATTTGATCAGGCGTGGCGAGCTCAAGGCGTTGGCCGCCTCGATTGTGTCATGCGGCACGTTCGGCACAACTCCGTTGAATCTATGTATACCGAGACACAGCTTAATATAATGTGAATATGGCTACCTCAACGCTTGGGCTTACTCCAAAAATGGGGAACGTATGGTCAAGTCCACGCTCTTGGCCGTCTCAAAGTCGCACCGATTGAGCACCAGCCAAGTCAGCTCCTGCATCCAGGTGGTGCCGCACTTTGGCAGCGTTACAATCCACACATCGTCCTCGCGCACCTCGAAGTCATGCACGCGGTCCAGCACGGGCTGGAATGTGTCGGCCAAACGGCAGAAACGCTGCTCCCAGCTGCCCACCACGGGCACGCCTGGCTCTCGAGTGGCATAGATCGAAGAGTAACCGCCGCTGATGGCCAGCTTATCGATTTGCTCGAAGGGCACGCTTCTCGCAAAGAAACTCGATTCGGGCATATTTCTTTTTTTGGGTTAGCTGACAGAAGCTCAAGCTATGCTTGTATTTTGATCGCTATGATGGATCGAAGTCAACCGTACGGCTCTACAGTTGGCGCCGCATTAAACGCTGCTACACAGTCAGCGAGAAATCAGAGGCAGAATTTTTCGCCCTACGCTCAGCTCCAGAGATGAGCGCGTGAATTCAAGGGAAGTGAAGTGAAGTGATCGTGATTAATAACTTATCAAATATGGAAAGCTCGAAGGTAAATGCATCATGGGCTCGTTCGACTTGTTTACTCTTAAAGTAAAAATATCAAAGAAGCGAATAAAAGGGTTCAGGATCGCGGCTTGGTTATCTGAAAGTTGAACAAACCAGCGGCAGGTCACTGGCTTAAATCCAGCAGCAAATTGTAATATTTGCTTCAGGTTGAGTTGAATCGAACATAAAAACACGTGAATAACGATGAATGTAAAGTGATCCACAGTTTGCCTCATCTCCATATACATAACAATATATGTCGCTGTATTATATAATGCTCGCAACGGCACCAGAAACTTGTTAAACAGACTCGTTTTGTCTCATCTTCGGTTTGATATTTCGAAAACGCATTTAATGATCGGGTGCTGTAAGACTTTCTTTACGGACGGCCTTTGTGGCTGGGCATGCTCTTATTGAAGCCAGCCGTAAAAGAAAGTTGTTGGTGCTAACGACTCATTGTCAACATTTTTTGGTTTGTTTGTTTACCCTGTGTTCACGAAGGTGAAATTATGCGTACAACTTTGGGCAGCCATTTGGCCCAAAAGAATCAAATCGTCTGGCCGTAAGCAGGTTGTTTAAATGCAGATCGCAGGCACAAAGCTTGACGCAAATGTAAAGCCAATTGAACTACAACAAATATTCGCTTTATTCCACAGCAGAGAGCAGAGATTTGCATACCCACCGTACGCGTTTTAAAATGTGTATAACATTTGGCTAGAATTTGGAATTATTCTAATTTGTGACCTTGGCCTAAATGTAAATTCAATTTTCTCACATCTCTCTCTTTGAGTTTGGTTTGTTTTCAAATTTGAAAGGTATGCAAAGGTTTTGTATTATGTATTTGCGTTTTTTATTCGCGTTTTGTTTTGTTGTTCTTTGTTTTTACAATAAATTTGACTAAATCTTAACATTTATAATCCTTAACCTGCAAGGAGCAAACAGACGTAGTAACAAATATATGTCAGTATGTAGTTGTATAAAGATTTAGCGTGTTGTTCAAGAAACAAACAGTATCTAAGAATTTAGTATTACAAATTTTTACGCATTTGTTTAAAGAGCTCGTATTTAAAAAATAATTCTTTCTTTTTTTTTTTTTTTTTTGCTTTGAAATTGTAAATACTTAAGATGTGTGCGTGTCCTTAATACATACACATACATTTTAAACATACACACACACATATTAACAACAATAAATATATGCATATATGTATTCGTATGTATTTGCGTTCAGTTGAAAGGTGTGCGCACGTGTGTGTGTGTGTATATATGTAGGGGTGTGTACAAGTTCGACAGATAGATGGGGCTCTCAATTCAAGCCAGAATCCTGGAGTTCATGGGGTTTACTTGTGTGTGTATAAACTGTATCAAAAATGTAATCGTTAGATATATGTCTAATAACAGATACAAATAACAGTGTGTTTGAATGATGTTGATGTTGTGTGGCACACACACACACACACACACACACACACACGCATACGCACGCGCATACATACATACATATATAATAATATATAAATATATTTTTTGAATATGCTTATATGTTCGAAAAATTTGTATAAATTGTATACATATATATATTTCATACTTATTAATTTGCCTTTGCTTTGATTCATAGGTATGCAAACAAATATATGTATATATATCTATATATGTATATGTGTATATATAATATTCTGTTTTTTTGATTTTTTTGTTATTTTTTTTTTTTTTAACAAGAACATTAAATCGATTTGTATTAATTTACTTTTTATATATAATATGTAATTTGTTCAGTCAATTAGATAAAAAAGATTTCAAAAAGGATTCACTTAATCATACTTTGTTTGCATTTTGTTTGTTGCTTATGCATCAAAAGTAAACATAGTAAATATTAGATATTAGATAGAAGGTAGATAGTAAGGGGCCCCATAGAATTTCGCACGTTACATATGTGGATTCGAATTGTTGTTGTTTTTTGTATTTTTGCTAATCAATTTAGTTGTTGTACATTAGTAGAAATAGATATTGATGTAATTTCAGCAAAAGTTCGTTTGCTATGCACATCATTTGCTGTCTCAGCTTATCCATCCCAAGACCTAATACACATACAAACACACACACACACACACACAGTCATCTAGATATGGCCTTGCAATTTATCTTAATTTAAAAGTAGTTGGACACTTGTATTAAACAGAGATTGTCTTCGTGTGTGAGGGGCTGCTGGTGACTGAAGGTGGGAGAGGGCAACACGCACGACTTATCTACTAGTATGTGTGTGTTTGTGCAATGGCCGCGACGCCATTTTGTTGGTTATGCTGTTATACCGTTTTAGGTACCCTAGAGCGCGCGCCATATTGTTCGTTGGACAATATGCGTCTATGTTTGCTATTTTTCTTGTATTTGCATGTAGATTTGTATTTATTTATATACTTATATATATAAATGTTTTAACACACACGCACATACATTGAATAGGGCACACAGATATACATATACACACAAATTTTGCTTTCTTTTTTTGTGATGTTACTTAAATATTAAATTTTGAGTCCAGCCCAATAATTTTTTTTTTGTTTATCTTTGTTATCTTTTTGTTTTGTTTTGTTTTGCTCTTCAAACATTTGCGACAGTTTTGTATTTGTTTGATTTGTTGTTTTTTTATACTTGTGTGTCTGTGCTGGAGAAATCTTTGTTTGTTTTGGCACCGTTTCTTGTGGCCAGCTCACAATAAGGATTACAAATCCACCTATACACACAAACACACACAGAGCTGTTTGGGAAGCGTTATTTAGTCGAGATATGTGTGCAATAAGCGACAACAACAAGAACGAGACCTATACCGAGAGAGTGCGACGAAAGCCACGTCTCTGGGCTCGGATTCGCCTGCACTAGAGCATATCCTCCATTTCGTTCTCGCCAATTGTGGATGTGGCAGGCGCCTGGGCCGGCAGCGGCTTCAGTAGACCCGAGAATATTCTCCGAAAAGCCGTATGCTATTTAGAATTGGACGTCTTATTGCCGACAGGCGGCTGCTTGGCCATAATATCGGCAAGGGTATTAACGCCCTGCTCATCATATTTCTTCCACTGTGAGTAGTTGATCTGCATGCACGTGATCAGCTGAGGCATGTCCAGAAAACCTGCATGAAATACAAATTGGTTTACTTGAATTGATCGAATGTGAAAGATGAGCGCACTTACCATCCCAGGCATGCATCATATCCTGTATTATATATTCGATAAAGCCAATCTGGCTCTTTGGTATGCTGCAGGTGGCACGATCGAACATGGGCATCACAATGGGCATGTGCCGCTGCTTCTCCTCGTCCGTCTGCATAAAGTACTCCTCGGCAATGCGCCGCGCCCATTCGATGCAGTACTGCATTGGACGCGCTGGATTGCTCACATCGGCCACCTTGATAAGCATGCGACGCATGAGTATGGATGTCTCCTCCTCCGACTGCACGAGCTGCATTAAATGCGAATCGGTTAAGAATATTGTCAGATCTTCCATTGCTCAAACGCCTTACCTCACGCGGCTCAACCTCGCTGCCAAAGACGCTCACAAACTTGGCCAAGTGCTCAAAGTGACGCGTCATTTCCGTGGCCAGTATCATATCGATAATTGTGCTGCGCGCCGATTTGTACGTCTCCTTGTCCAAGTTCTTGAAAATGTTGATCTTATCGTCGCCTGCAGGCAGTCCATTTGTCAGCGAAAGGGTTTCAATCTAAGCTGAATGTGCACTTACCCAGGGTCAGCTTAAAAGTGATTGCCGCATGATGCGACTCCAGCACCGTCAGATCATTATACAATATGGCCAAGGGATTGTTCGAGTTGCATAGAAAAGCGGAGGAGCGACCAGGATGATCGACATCGTGCGCTGCTGCCGCAATCAAGGCCGTTGCCTCGTCCATGCGATCCATTACCATGTCCTTATTGGCCAGCTGCGTGATAAAAGCGCCCGTTGCCTGCAAATAGACGTAACTTTTGAAGGAGTGCAATCCTATAGAATTCATATGACACGCACCTGCATGACGTCCGCTGCGTGTGTGCTATTGTGATATGTGTTGCTCTTGTGATAGTGCGCCTCAATAACGGCCAGCCAGGCTTTGCAGACGTTCTCATCAATGTTCAGTGTGGCAAAGACATCAAAGCGCCGGAACATTTCCATGCCCAAGTACAGCAGCGGATGGTAGTCGGTGATCTCTTCCAATTTGAAAATATCAAAGTCCCAGCTAAGAGATTCTTCAAGTAGTTCCATGATAATGGGATTGGCCTGCGAGTGTTGTTATATGGTTTATTAAGGTTTGCAAAACTATTTATAAACTAAATATTTAACTACTGTCGCTAGTCTTGTGAACAAAACTGTGAACCCAACAAAAATGTTCGCTATGTGATTCTCAGACATTTTACAATTCTCTGTTGACTATTCACATAATTATTTGGACCAAATCATCCTTTTTTCTTTTAGTCAGCTAATTAAGTTAGGGGTTCGTTACATGATAAATAAATACTGGGATTTCCGAACTCTAACCGATTCGATTCGAAACCAGTTTGAATTCTTACTTGAAAGTTAATTTTTCAAGTATCTGAAAATTTGCTTAGTAAAATTAAATTAAGTCCGCTTACAACTAGGGATTTATAGACAAATCGTGAAACCTACCTTCATCTTGGCGGGCACAATGGTGGCCGCGCGCGTCGAGTTGCCAGTGCGGATGATGGAGTCGTTGGAGCTGCGTCGCGACGAGTAGACACTGGGACCCTAAAATGGGAAGAATGTTATAAGAGAGTGCCTGGCCATGCGGCCGGTGCACATACCGTCAAAAGGGCGCCAATGAGATCGGTGGCTATGGGATCATCGGTGCGTATCTCTTTCATTTGTGGACTGTAGAGTCCTTCGCGCTTAAGGAACTCCAAGACTTTGTCTATGAGGCGTGCCTCGTCGGCTGAACAATTCTCCTGTACTTGTGATAGTAAATTGATTATCTAAAGTGCGAGTGCGCAGTTTGTGTGTTGTTTGATTGTTTGAACAGAGTTTGTTGATTGATTTGTTTGATTGTTTTGTTTTGTTGCAAGCGACGCGCAGCGAGCAAAACGAACGAGCGAGCGAGCGAACGTGCGAGCGAATGGAACCAGTTCATATGTACAATAATGTTGGAATTGTTATTTGTTTGTTTGTTTTTTTTTTTTTTTTTGATTTGTTCAAGTACACAGAAAACATAAAAGTAAAAGAGAACATAACAAATATAAGAGATAAAAAAGAGAATAAATGTAAAAACAATAGTTTTAGTTGTGCAATTTGGGTATGTTGAAGTCTGTTATTGATTCAGTATTGACTCAGTATTGGATTAGTAGCGTTAGATCAAATTCAAATATTTGCCAGAAATGAGCCATTAGATACGGATGATTAAGTATGTCTTGTCACGGTCAGGACATCCACACCTTTTGGCTCATTTGAGTTGTGCTTTTTAAATCAACTAAGATAACCGGGGGTGTATGCTTTTGTATGCTGTTATACAGCTAGTATACAATTGTTATACAATTGGTATACATCTGTTATACAAATCAACTAACCTCATTTAAAGTTGTGCGTTCAAAATCATCTAAACTCACCTATTTCTTGACTGAAACTATTTCTTACTGTTATACAGCTAACCTAAGTTAGAATAGTGCGTTAAAGATCAACTAAATGTATTCTTATACAAGTAAACTAGCTTATTTCTCTGCTGGAACTATATATTGTTTACTGCAATACAGATGGAATGTATTTCCCTTTAATCTATTTCAGAGTTGGTTTTCTGCTTCGTAGACAACCTGATTCCTATTACTCTCCTTTCTTATTTAAAGCAATCTTATTTACATTCGCTGAATAAGAACCTGCTAATTAATTAGAGAAGTGATTTTGATCAGTTCAGCACAACTCTGACGTTGTCAAAGAGGACTCTGTCAGTATCTGTACCAGTGTGTGTGTGTGTGTTCGTGTGTGCACTGGTTTTGATGTGCGTGGTTGTGGGTGTTGACAGTTGCTACTGATACTACAGTGCTAGTGTCTACATGGGAGGACATTATGACACACACAGGCACACAAACACACACACACACACACACACATACGAACCACACACAACACGGACACGGACGATAATTTAGTATTTGCAACATGGGCACAGAAAGCATTCGAAGGTTGTCAGATGTGGGAGAGGTCAACAGTTTTAGTCAAAACCAATTGGGCGTACAAAATGGAGTCATACTTTGGTGATGGGTGCCTCCAGGGGCAGCGACGTCAGCTTGGCCAGGCTGGTGCGACGCAGTCCGTCGGACGCAATGGAGCGCACATCGAAGCTGCAGCGACGCACCGAGTGCAAAGAGCCGCGCGGCGCCTCCTTTGGCTGCGGCAGCGTGGCAATGAAGTCCATACCGCCGCCGGGTATATCAAAGTTGAAAATCAGATGGGTAGGCGCACTGCCGATGGACACGGAGCGAGAGAGATTGGGAGAGACAGATTAGGGAGATTGAAAGACTGATAAGATTGGAAGAGTGCACTTACCTGCCAATGCAGGCCACGGGCACGACACGCACGTGCATGGGTATGCCTTCCTGATTCTTGCGGCGGACCGTCAGTATGCCATCAAACTCCTTGATGCTCTTGCCCTGCTCACTGATGGTGGACAGGTCCGAGACGAAGATGTCGGCTAATGGCTTGCTAATTATTTCATCCTGTTGTGGATCGGGGCATGGGAATAGAGAAATCTCATTAATGCCCACAATTGCACGTTTGTTGGCACGTCGGATGAGTCACTCACCAGCCGCATGTTGAGCAGCCGTTCTGTGGCCCGGTTGGCATACTGTATGCGCAGCACGTCGTCCGTGATGAGCACCACCTCCTTCAGCCGGTGCAGGGCCGTGTATAGTGCCTGTGGGTAGGGTGCGGCAGTGGAGCGCAAGAGCAAGAGGCAGGCTTGTGGTTTACATTTACAATTTGATTAAAGCGCCAGCAACGTGGTGGTCGCCACTTGCGCCATTTAATTGAATTAATGCAACCGGGACAGCTGCAGCCTGTAGAGCTGGCCCCCGGGCAGAGCATTAACTCGATTGCGTATTGCGTTTACCTGTTGAGTGGACATAACATTATGCGGCCTTATGATCGAGTGCAGAATCTGCTTCAGTTCCACGCTGCACATCGCCAGGTTGGTCGTTTCGGCTATGCACTGTGTCAGGTAGCAGGAGCAGGAGCAGGAGCAAAAGAAACTTGTTTCAATGCGAACTAAAGACGTGAGCCATTTAATTGGTAACTTACTCTATTAACGCCAGCGTCCAATAGAGCAATTAGCGCATCATCCTTTTCAAAGAAACTAAAAGAAGACATTAAACAAGTGGCTCCAGTTGGATCAAGTTAATGTGAACCTACCTCTTCTTGCAGACGGCAATTATTGTCGTTAAATGATGTCCATGTGTGTGACGTATTGTTCTAATGGGCAGTGGGAAATGGGAAATGGGAGATGGCAAATCAATTTAAGTGATAAGTTTGAGTAAAGTTTTTCGCTGCTGTTGCTGTTGGGACATCACGTATACGCAACGTTGGCCAGCACTCACCTTGCAATGTGCTCGGCATCGAGACCTTTTGTGGAGCGCGCATCAATTATAATTAGATGATAGCACTGCGCTGTGGCATATGACTTGTGCAGGGTTTCGAGGGCTTCCTCCTTGGATTTAACCAGCGTTGCGTCCAATTGATGGCGCTGGCAGGCCAAGGTGACCACCTCGCAGATGCTATCCGATTTGTGAAAAACTAAAAGCGCCTGCGGGTGAATTGACATTGGGATTGGGCATTAGTCAAATTGGACAAGAAAGCGAACGGGCGAGCGAGCAACCGGGCTGGCTGGTTGGCACGTGTCAGCTTACCTTAAGTTGAGGATTCGGTGGTAGCACGGTTGGATATTTCAAGTCCATGAGATTTCGCTGCAACACAAGTCAAAAACAGGTGAGCAAGAGGTGAGCAGGTGAAGCAACGTGAAAAATTTAATAAAAATCTACAGCGTTGGCTTTGCCATCAAAATAAGAGGGCTTAACTCGGCTTCTGTCTGTGTCGTGTCAGTTTACGAGTGTGCGTGTGTGTGCTTGTGCGTGTGTGTGCTTGTGCGTGTGTGTGTGTATCTGTGTGTGACTGTGTGTTTCTATGTGTGCCTGTGTGTGTGTGTGTTTGTCTCGCACAATATGCGTAAGGTGTATGTGTCGCTAAAATGATGATAAATTAAAATAAAATTGCTTGTGCCCGACGGAAAGTTGCCGTATTGGTGACTTGGTCTGCAGATTTATTATGCTCGTATGAATAAATGCGATATGTGAAAATCAGGGACTTGAAACACACACACCCACACACACAAAGACAAACACACAGATACGTTGGGATAAAATACAACTGCGTAGCTCAGTAATGAAAACACATGTTGACATCAAAAGGAACCAAATTCAAAACTATTTATAACCATCTTTTGGATATACAACTGCCTTTCGTTGATTTAAAAATCGATATTCATAAATTGCGCATAATCAAACACAGAATAACTTTGGATTTAGCAGGCCACCTTTAAGTAATTCATTTTGCCCTGCAAAAACAATTTCGAGAAAAAGTAATTTTTTGCAATTTACGTTTAAAATTAACTCTCAGCTAAATTGGCAATATTATTGATTCTGGAGTTTTTCCACATGGAGCTTTTCACAAACAACAATTGATTGGGGGAATGTATTTTCCATAATTTATTTTCACTAAATATGGAAAAACAATAAGTGAAGTTTTCGTCACATTTCGTTTAAGGAGCTCTTGACTGTGTGAACTAAGGAAGCGAGGCTTGTGGGGAGCGGAAATGGGTGTGTGAATATTATTTCTGGCAAGTTCTTTGGTAACAGCAGCTTTTGATTGTTGTAGGACTTTAATTGAAGTAAACGAATATATATTTTACATATGCAATAACTTAATGGGTCGATGGATGTTCAAATAGATAGATAGATGGACGAACAACTGCACAAAACCAATATGCCCGGTTTTGATGAAAAAATTTGCTGTTTCATTGTAGAGAAATGCTTTTCGATTAATTTACAAATTACCTACTGAAGAGTACAATTATACAATTTTTGATTAATGTTCAATTATTTGTTAATTAATTGCTGAAACTTGTTTGAATATCATGAATTCTTGCCTGAAACGTGTATTGAAATGCTCTTAAGCCTCAGGTGAAGTGGAACAGAAATAAATCTCAACTTTGAGATGTAATTGTAGAATTCCGTTTCCTCCTGACATACCCTTAATTTTGTACCTATGTAGGGTTATTTTCCAAAAATAAGCAACTGACATATTATTAATAGAACTCATATGAATATGCCTTATATATATATATTTATATGAATCAATGTCGGTAATTGCCCGGAGCGTCAAAGCTTTTGATGATTTCCGGAATTGGAATATTCAATCAATTACGTTTTTGTAAATTTGAATCATGGACAAAGTCAAAATCGAGCGCTGATAATGGCAATGACAGTTCTAAAGGTTCTCTTTGTTGTGCTGGCGAGCTATCTTTGGCGGGGCTATCAGTTGATAAATAAAAGAGTCGACAATTTTCTTGCTGCCAAGCTGTCCCAATTACAATAATGCCTGTCAGCCAAATACCTGAAATGTTTTAAACTCATCCTCTTCGCTCTGCGGCGACGGCTTCTTGCCGTTGCCCACCCAAAGACGCAGCTTGGGACCCTTGTGTAGACGCCGCTCGTACAGGCTGTGGCACTGCCGATCAAATCCGCAACTCTTGGAACGCAGCGGCACTCCATCCTTGTCCTCCTGTTGCTGTTGTGCTGTTAGCTTGATTCTATCTTCCAGCGTGAGGTTGTTCAGCAGCAATGCTTGGGTGTCCAGATTGCGTATGGCCTCGACTATTTCCGGCTGCATGATACGTCCGACTCCGCTGCCAGCGCCAACCGTGCTGCCGCCGTTGCTGCCACCGAAGGCCATGCTCAATGACCTTGTATTACGGAGCAATGGCGTCATTATATCCCTGCCCTCGGCCGCCTCATTTGCCTCGTACTCCAATTCCATTTGCTCGGGCGTCTTGCTGGAGTTGCCTGGCAACCGCACGGGCACTGGCAACGGCGCGGCCCCTGGAACTATGCCAGCTACCTTTATTTCCGAGGTCGCATTTGTTTCAAGCACTGGACGGATGCTGCCATTTGACGCTGTTGTGCGGCTATTGCGGCTGTTGTTGCTCTGCTCCAAATCCGAGCTATTAGGCATAGTTGTGCTGACAGCGCTTATCAGCCGGCTCTTATCGACGTCATCAGCACACGACGTTGTTGAAGTCGTCGCCGTCGCCGTCGTTGTCGTCGTCGTCGTCGACGCTGTGGCTGGTGCCCATTGCAGCTTTTTATTGTCATTATCGAGCTGTTGATCAGTAGTCGTCGTCACGGTGCTTGTTGTTGTTGTTGTTGCACTTGTTTTTCTTGCTGCTGTTGCTTTCGCAATGATATAGCGCTCCGTATCGGCGTCCGTCTCCAACTCATTTGAATGGGCGGCCGCGGCTCTCGCTGACGACGACGACGACGATGATTTGGTGCGAAAAATTTTTGGCAAACAATTGCGCATTCTGCTAATTATACAATAACACTCACAGCGCTAAACTACTTCACAATATCGATATCAACAACAACAAAAGAACACTTGACTCGCTTCTCAAACTCAATGCTCAACAAAATGTCCTTCTATGCGAGCAGCGGCAACAATTGCAGAGCGCTTGCGTAAGCAGCCACAGCGGAGCACATATTAAAATCCGAAAAAACCAAAAAAAAAAAAAAATTGATTTGATATGAAAAGATTTCCACTGATCAAATTGAGGTTTAATTAATCCAGTCGAACGAGTCTGCTCGTATATGGGACACTGGCGGAGTCGTGAGCTAGGTCTGCTTAGTGTCTAGAAATTGAATATTTCACTGGTTTTGCGGTCGAAACGCGACTGACTGACTGAGTCAATTGGCTCGACAGTTGGGCGACAGCTACGAGTAGCTGGCAATGCGGCGGGTTAATCTATTTCTTTACTTTTTGATTTCCCACCTTCAATGTTAATTGATTTGATTTCTCTGGCGGCACATTGTTTATGTGCGACACATACACACACACACATACACGCACACCTGTGCGTTGTGCTCTTTTTTACATACACACACACACACACTCATTCGGACGCGCGCGGTTCAGTTCTCAGTAAGTGTAAATGAGCGGCTATTTAAAGAAGCGCAGCTGAGCAAAATGTAAAGCAAAAAAGCACAAAAAACAATTAAAAGAAAAAGGCAAGAAAAAACTTTGGCGAGAGCTTCCATCATATAACGCGCTGTGATAAGATATCTTATCAAAGACGTAACACACATGTGCGTTGCGCTCGACATAATGCCCAACCGAAGCACTGGCCCGGGGCCAGACGAAACAAAGGTGGCCGAAAACAGAAAATGAATAAGAAAAAAATGTGTAATCAGCATCACAGAAAAATGCGCTCACCTGATACACGTCCATTGACTCATCCTCGGGCGTCAGTGCTAGCGCCAGCGAGGACTTGCGGTGACCAGGACGACCGCTGCCGCCGCCGCCACCGGAGGAGCTGGTGCCCGATGTGCCGGTGCCTGCAAAGACAGCAAAGACAAACAATAAATGCCAAATGCTTGTGTCCAATAAAAGTTTGGCGCTGAAAAGCATGCTACATTTTTGTGTGTGCGACGGCAAATGTGTTGCCTACTTTTAGATCGCCGCACGCACACACGCACAGCCAAAGAGACAGCCTAAGAGAGCGGGAGAGAGAGAAAGTGAGAGAGAGGGGGCGCTAGAGAGGACAGCAGACGCAGGCCTCCCATTCATATCTTCCGTCGTCTAGTCGCACGTTTTATTTAATTATAAGCGTTGGCATTTCAAAAAACACTTTATAACAGGCACACGCACGTTTAGTCCACACCCCCCACACGCCCACACCCCCACAGCAGGTCCCACATACCGCCCCACGGTCATATTAAGACAATCCGCTTACCCACAAGCAGCTCGGACTCGGAGGCCGGACGCGTTAATGAAGCTCTGCTTGTTATAGTTGTTCGTGTTGTTGTTGCTGCTGCTGCTGCTGTTGATGTTGTTGTTGTTGATATGGCTGGTGTTGTGGGTGTTGTTGTTGCTGCTGCTGCTGCTGTTGTTGTTGTTGTTCCTGTTTCTGCCTCAACGGCGTGCATTTGTCTAGCCGCCCTGCCCATCATTAGTGCGGCCGCACCCGCACCCGCAGCCGCCCCCACGCCCGCACCCACACAATTGCAATCGCTCTCGACGCCTTCCTCGCTCATGTGGGCCGACGACGATGTCCCGGACAGATTTGCTGGCTGGCTAGATATAATCATGGCGCGGCTTTTAGTTGTTGCCTCTGCCGATGCCGTTGCCTTTGCCGTGGCCGTGCGTTGTTTGTGTTTTCGTTTACTTTTTTCTTTATTATTGTTGTTGTGTTGTTTTTTTTTCTTGGTATTTTCCGTATTTTTATTTCGCTGACTTTGCAAATTAACTACAAATATTCAACATAATTATCGCTTTTGATTATTTTCGTGGCACTATGTTAATTTGTCATTTATTTTGTTGCTGTTGTAGCTGGCCCAGCTGCTCCGGCTACCCGGCTGCCCGGCTATTTATCTGGCTGTGCTGGCATTGATTTCAAACAATTAGTGCGTAATGATAACCTGCTCCACATGCATAACTGTGTGTGCTTGAGAGAGTATCTATGAGTATTTATGAACAAAAATAGCCCTGAAACATAAACATGCGGAACTGAGCTGCCAGTACCCTACTTATATCATTTTATATATATATATATATATTATATATTATATATATATATTTATGTATAGGTATGTACTCGCAGTTATGTATATATAGAGAAAATATTTGCGTATATTCAAATAAATACACGCTGCCTGCCTGGCCTGTGTGTATCTTATCGTTGTTAGCGTCCGCCTGCCTCAGTTGCGCTGGCTAGCGGTACGCGTTGTAATCTAAACGAAAATCGATAAATTGTTTAGATAAAAGCCACAGCAGCAGCAGCTACGGCAGCAGCCGACCGACCGCTGACGTCGCTAGCCATAAGCAACAGGGTTTGGTTTTGGCTTTGGTTTTGGCTTAGGCTTGCGACGAGGCCATGCTCAGATACTCTATGGCCATGTTGAATTTTCAGTTGAATCTCAACTATTTCAAGCACACACAAACATACTCCCACACACACACACACACACACACACACACACGGGGGTACTTAAACCTATGGCGTCTCTCGGAACGGCTGCAGAAATGGCGCCAATGAAAGTGGCTGCAAATACTTACAACACTTGCTCACATTAAGGCTCATGTTACACACGGACACACACCGCTCGCAACAGTTGCTGGCTCATTAGTGTGTAAAGTGTACACACAAGTTGGCTGGGAGGGAGGAGGGTGGTTGGAAGTGAAGGTGCGCTTGATTTTGATCGATTAGCACTTGGCTTATTTACGAGTATGCAACATGGCCGCAACGGCGACGACGCTGTGCAAACACACTGCAGGCTATATTAAAATTTAACTGCTCGACAAACAGGAGCACAGTTACGTCTACGGATGGCGTTATTTGCAAACAAACAGAATGAAACGCAACGCAAAGCAACCGCCGCAACTTTAATGAAACTCAAATTGTTCTTATTCAAAGTTCAATTATGAAACCGTAGCAACTGGCAACGGGCAACGGGCAACTGGCAACGGACAACTGGCAATTGGTAACTGGCAACTGGCAACTGTATGGCACTGACTAGACCAGGCCACTGCGCAACGTCCGCACTAATCCGTTATGAAAAACTGTTTGCCAGATGATAATTCTCGCACGGATTCTGAAACCGCCAGCGAACGCGCTGCGCTCTACACACCAAACGGTCGGCCACTTGGCCTTATCCATTTCGCTGTTGCTAAGAATGATTTCCTGTTAACTTGTCCTTAAACTCGTCTAATTGGACTTATTGCAAACGCGAATCCAATTAGGACTTTCAGTGTGCGCTTGCAATCGGCAGAGAGAGAGAGAGTTCTAGTCGAATAAAGAGTTGAATACATAGTTGATATAACACTTCATGCCTTGAGGAGAATTAGATAAATATTTAAGCAATTTCTATTTGCTTTGAATCAAGGCTAAGTCTCACAAAATCAACAACTTTTTGTTCTGGCAACTCAAGCTGGTCTGCAAATTCTGTAATATCCCAAGCAAGAGTATAAATTTATTATGTCCGTATATCAATGAGTGCATAATAATAACTTCTTCTTGGGTAGAGATTATGTTTGTTAAACAAATTGCCTAAATTATGTTGCGTAAAAAATATGTGTATAAATTATTGAAAGCCATCCAAATACTCAGATATTGCAAATTGATTTTCGATGAATTTTGTGCCCAACAAATTTTCTAGGAATTTCAGTAATTTGTGGCGCAGCTTCAGAGAAATAAATTTCTTTGATTTTGTGAACCAATAGCATATGTATATATAACATATATATATTTATGTTTAAGCGCTTTGTCAACAATAGAAATTGTTGATAATAATGCGAAAAGTCATAATGCATTATGCTGCCTTATTTGGAATTATAAAAACTTAATTAAATTACGAGAAATTGGAATTTTTCTGATTTTAGTTTATTATTCTTGTACACAAAGTAAAATTCTTAGTCAATCAATTTGAACAACCTTCAGTTATTATTGCTAAGACGTGATTTTTTAAAGCTCTAACATCCGCTGCAAATCGGGTAAATATTTTCTTGCGCAAGGCACAAAAAGAACAAAACGAAAATATTTACTAACAATTTCCGTTTCAATACGTTAAGCGCACGAAAAATATTTCAGAAATTTTAAAAAAGTCCGAGTCGAACATTGAACATTGAGAACATTGAGACATGAAACTTTTTGTTATTGGTTTTTGCGTTTGGTGTTCAAAGAATTGAAACGTTTCAATCTCAAATTTGAAAAGAAGCTCGCCTCTTACTTTGAATATATTTCTCTCTTTTTGTAAGCTGCTAGAATCCCAAACTAAGAAGAATTTCGATTTCGATATGTATTGAGAATAAATGTGGATTGTGTTGCGATTGCATTGCAGAGCATTGTCGGGATGGCATTAGCCGGTCTTTGGCTGAGAGTGTCTTTTGCGCCTTGTTTGTTGTCATGACAACCAATTAATTTTTGATAAGATAATATCAGGCGAGTTTGCTCATAGTATTCAGATGTTTAGGCCCCCGTACACACAGAGATACGGATACTGAAATACAGGCGTATAATGCGTTTTCAGAAACACACACGCACACACACACACACACAGGCACACACAGGCACATAGACAAAAAGACACACAGTTACAAATAAATAATCAAGTAGAAAACAAAGCCCGTGCACAATCTACATCTGCTAGTAGGAGACAGAGAGGGAGAGAGAGAGAGAGAGAGGAAAAGAGAGAGAGGCAAGAGGGCGTGTGCTGGTTAGTATACGACTTAGTTGGCCTGCTTCTGGGCACGTTGCTCATGTTTTGTCCGGACCCGAAATGCGAAACCTACCCCCGAGGCTTTATCTATCCAGCGGCGATCAGTGGGCATGGACATGTCGCCAAGTCCAGTGTCGCCTCATATTGACACTAGCGGACAGTTGGTGAAAAATGTCGCTTTCACTCCCAGCGAACGGGCCGCTGTCTGCGCATTAATCTAATCTCTGGAACTGGCAGAGTAGTTTATGTATATATGCATACATATATTTGTGAAAAGCTTCACGTGGCTTTCGGGAGCAGTGGCAATGTACTCTGCCAGCTAAATGTAAACAACAGCAACAAAATCCGATTTAATGCGACAACTTGCAAGGCACAAGTGCACAGAGATTTACGCCAACTACTTAAAGGGCGTAATCAGTTCAATTCAATTCAGTTCAATTCAATTTGATTCAATTGAGTTCAATTCTACCCGATAGCGAGAGAGAGTGAGAGTGAGAGAGAGAGAGAGAGAGAGAGAGAGAGAGAGAGAGAGAGAGAGTGAGCGAGAGGGAAGAGCAATTAATGTGAAACATTGATAAATTGCAGCATACTGATCGCGCGCAGTCGGCAGTTGACACCTGCCCATGGCAGCTGCTGGCAGGCGGGGATTAGGCGCACATAATGTATCGACGGCATTTGGCCACACTGCATTTCAGTTTCAGTTTGTTTTGTTTTCGTTTCTCTTGCTAGTTTGCTCTGCCCGTTGCCTTTGTGTATTTTGCTTTGATTGATGTTTTGGCGCCATTGCGTGGGCGGCTGCTCAATTGTTATTGTTTAGAGCCGATCGTCGATCGTCTTTCGAGACGCTCTGGCAACGCTATCGAGCATCGATGCGTGCGTCTGCCTGTGTACGTGTGTGCGTACGTGTGTGTGTGTGTGTTTGGGTGTGAATGTTGCCATCTAAAAAGATCGTCACAGTCGCGTGTAACGTAAACCCGATTGTCATGTGAATCTTTTTTATCTCTGAGTAAAAATTAATAAACTAAAAAATGTGCGAGTGTGTGTGTGTGTGTGTGTGTGTGTGTTTGTTTTGGCTGTTGTATAAATATGCACAGAATTTATATAAGCTAATTTTTTTTATTTTTATTTGTTGCTGTGTTTTGTTCTCATTAGCTGGTATTTGCATTAATGGAGCACTTTGGGTCGTTAGCCGTTGGCCGTTTGTTTGACAGCCCCAACATGTTAATGAGTGTTAGACACACACACAGACACACACACACACACACAGACACATTCGGCAAGTGCAGTGTGCATTAAAGCAAACGCAGCCAAATTCAAGAATGAAAACGCACGCAAAAGCACAGCCAGATACACGAACTCAGATACAGCTACAGCTAGCACATATAGATAGATACATACACGCACACACACACGTACACGCACACATACGGCTGGAGATTGCTAGACAAATCGTATTCTACACGCTTCTTCTAGCTACTAGCACAGTTACTTGTTGTATTTGTTGTTGTTTTTGTTATTGGCACACTTAGTTGTGAAGTTTATTTTGAATTTTAACACTTTTCGATCTTGTGTATAAATTGTTGCTATATTTTATTTGATTTTTTTTTTTTTGTATTATTTTTTTATTTCTTCTTTCGGTTTTGTTGTATTTATTTTTGATTTTGGCTTGCTATGCGGCGGCCGAGCTGTTTTTTTCCACACACGTCCACCAATTGCAGCGATCTTTCAGATACTTTTTGTGTGTCACACAGTGCGTTGTTGTTGTGTTGTTGTCGTGTTGTTGTTGTTATTGTTGTGCTGCTGCTGTTGTTGTCGTTAGTGTCATAAGCTTTAATTGCGTTCGATTTTGGTTCTCAACTGGTTGGCCCTGGCTAATACGCGTTGCAATCACTTGCACGAATTTTCTTGCCAAATTTGTGCCGTCGCTTTAGGCCACTGCAACAGAGCGAGTAGAACCAGCGACTGCATGCAGCTACTGCTGCTGCTGCTGCAACTGTTGTTGCTGCTGCGACACGCCCGCGAATCGCGCCCGCTGCATTTGTAACAGACTCTCAGGTTGAATCTGAATGTAAATTTGAATTTGAACGCCTTCACCTTCTGCCGCCTCGATTTGCATAACGAGCGAGTTGGGCGAAGCCCAAATATATATGCCGTCGATTACAGTGTATTGTGTATTATCGTATCGTATATATTATTATTATATGCGGCGATTGTGTGCAACGCAGCAGACGCGGCCAACGAATCCGCATCCAAAACCAAATCCCAGTCGGAATCGGAATCACTCAGAGGCAAAGACAGACCTTTGGTGAGTGCAAACGTCCCGTTACGAAAGCGTTTAACAACCGACACGGCGAACCAATTCAAAGCGACTGACTCCATAAATGGCGAGCAGCTGTTGCGAGTGCCAGCTCTGATCCGACTTCGTCGGCCTCGGCGGGCGGCAGGTGCGACGGCGGGGGAGGCACAGTCACCTTTGCAGAGCGAGCACCGATAGACGCCGTGACTCTCGGCGCTTGGCGTTCGGCGCTCGGCGATCGCCGCTGAGCGCGATCAAGTTTCATGCGAAAGCGCATTCATAATCTCCGCCATTCTCTCGGCGCTGCGCTGCGTCTCCCGCTCTTTGGACAGCAGCTGTGGCTGCGGCTCTGGCTACCGTCTGCCGCGCCATTGATATGTGAAGCTCAGGCCCAAGCTATGGGCGAGCCGTTAATTGGAGTCGACAGAAAAACAGCTGCACCTGGCTAACAGAGAGCTGCACTAGCGCCAGCTGACTTCTCGCAGATCGTATTACTTCCATCGGTACTGCCGCCCTTAACTTTAATTAAGTCAGCTGTGCGAGCCGCACCGCAGCTTTGATGCCCTTAACTTTTTGTACTGCTTTCGTAGAATGAAAGTCCAACTTCAGCGGGCGATAATAGATTTTTGTATGAAACTAATGCGGTTTTTTATTTTCTCGATTTCAGGCAGTCAACAAAATATGGATATACATCATCTTGAATACGCAACAATTTTTCGGTAAGTCGTAAATATATATTATTGACATTATTATTATTATTATAATTATTTTCATTATATTATATTGTTTATTGTATAAATATGATTGGAGGCACTTAGTTAGGATATTTACCAACACTGGTTATACTCTTTTTATACATTATTTCACACTCTATTCACAAAAATATTGCACCACTTAAAATCAATTTCTGCACTCACCTAAAGCACACATAAGATTTATTTCACGTCTTCATATGTTTTTACCTTGATGTGCTCTTTAGTTGAATTTATGCTATTTGTTTGTGTGTTAGATGGGTGTTTTTTTTTATAGGGTGGTACTTACTGCCCGTTCCGGTTGCACGTCGCACAACGCTGTGTGTAAAGTTACCCAAGGCTGCCACCGTCACAATGGAGTCCTTTTTGCCAGTGCTGAGCTGCAGGCGAGGATTAGATAGACGCAGTTCAATTGGTCGGTATTCAATTGCGGTATTCAGTGGGGGAAGGGGAGGAAACGGATGTGGCAGCTGGGACACACTCATACCAGCACCCACACTCACCTTCTCGTAGTCAGACTCGTTTTTGGTCTGTAACGGATTTAGCAGACCCTGGTTGCACATCATGTTATCGCCGCAGGTGGCACTGCCCGTGCTGCCGTCCCCGTTTTGATTCTGCAGTGTAACGGCGCCACAGCTGCAGCGGCGCATGCGGCTTCGTCGCAACTTGATGCAGAACAGAAGGCTTCCATCCTTCTCATTGCCATCCAATGGCAAGTTGGCATTGCCACCGTTCCCGCCACCACCCGGCGCCGCTGCTGCCGACGACGACGAGTTGGGCAATGTGCTGGGCGAGCAGCCCATGGCGTTGTCCTGTTTCCTGTGCTCCTCCTGCTGCTGCTGCTACTGCTGCTGCTTCAGCTCTTTCTCCTGTTCCTGCTCCCGCTACCCCTGTTGCTATGGGTATGCTAATTTGCTGTCGGTTTCGGTTTGGTTTTGGTCGCTGTTTGGTTTGGTTCTTGAGTTTCAATGGAGCTGCCGAGTGTTGGATGCTGCTACTGCTACTGTTGCTGCTACTGCTACTGCTGCTGCCTCCACTTGAGTTGCTGCTTAGGCTGTGGCTTTGGGTGCTGGCACTGAAACTGCTGCTTCTATTTGGCTGCTGCTGTTGTGGTTGTGTGGTTGTTGCGGGTAACATAATTGAAACATTTTTTTGGGTGTGCGCGTCAAGCGGCGATCAATTGAGTGGCTGATTGGCCGGCTTCCCGCTTACATCTCGAGCAGCTAAAAAATATAAAGAAAATAGAAAACAGACAATATAAATATAAATATAAATAAATAGAGCGCAGTAGCATGAATAGTCAGTTTTTGGCGTTCGATATGTGCCCCGCCCGGGTTTGCGATACATTTTTGCTGCTGTTTCAATAAATAAATTGTTGACCTCCATTTGAGCTGGCCAAGTTGTTTTTGCTGAGCTGTCGTCTGCATTTGAAGCAACTAAATAACTAATCTTGCAATCAGCTGGAACAGTTGGAGTTTAGACCCTAAAACCTGTTTGGCGCCAGCTATGAGAAGCGATCGGCTAGGTGAACAACTCGGGCAACAAACAACAATTAAGATTAGCTACATGATCATCATAAATCATCGCAAATTGAGTAAATCAATTCATCAATGGTTCTTTTTATATGCATTTATAAGCACTCATATAATTTTTAAATATATGGCCAAGCTGGCTAACACAAATTGATGATTATCGAGCCTGTTCCAGTTATTCTGGTTTGTTTCAGAATCATTTTCTCAATTTAATTTTAAACTGTTTTACAAAGAGAAAATTAAGCACAGCTGCATGCAATATAAATATTTCATTTCCGCACAGCATTTCTTTATGATCTGGTCACACTTTAAATGCATATCAATTTCTATTACCAACATATTCAATTTAGAAACCATTACCGTGACTTTTTAGTTTTAATGAACCATGCAGTTGTGCTGCCATTGATCTAAGTCGGGGTTTTTTTTATTAGTTTCGAGCAACGTTAAATATAAGATTTTAGCGTTTAAAATGGATGAGAGTGCTCGACTTTGAGATACTCTGAAAATACTTTAAATTCATGATAGAGTCTGATTTAATACAGAGAGATAGATTGGCGTTAAAGTAATTAATGAAAAGAAAGATACATTTCTAAAAAATTAAAGACTTTTATGTTTTACGTTAATCAGTGAGAATTGCATGGAAGGGCGATATCAGAATGTGTTTTTCAGTCTCTAAAATACGAACTTTTAGGCAGATATATGGATTAGGCTATATTGAGCTGACGTTTTGATCAAGGAGGTAGGGATAGCATAGGGTCGAAGTCTTGGGAACCCCAAAAATGAAGATTCTTCTCTTATTTATTGCATTAAATATTCTGCGTGTTAAAATTAGACCCGATTAGATCGATTTAATTTGCTGGGATTCAAATGAACAGAAGTTGTTCGCAGGAAATTACTCATGATAAAATAGATTATGTGGCTCGTGTGATACAATAAACATAAATAAACATATCTAATCGATAATATCAATGTATATATTTATATAAATTGGTATAGTTATGTGTATGCCTCAGATAGCTGCATTGTTATTAGATTAATGAGGAAGTTGCTTACTTTTTGCATGTCAAATAAATTAAAACATTACAATTGGTAGCTGTAACAGCAGTTGAGAGCGTTGAGCGATCGGTTTTCAATGTCTCCAGTTTTCTATATTGATATTATTTGTTTTTTTTTTTTTTTTCTTTGCGTTTTCTTGATGAGGTACAAGTGCCTTTATCTAACTAGACGAAATACAAGCTCGAGACTGTTGACAACTTAAAACCGAGAGCTCAGGTACAAGGTACATGGAGAAGTTTATTTGAATTTCGTTTTTTATCGTTCTGAGCACCTGACAAGCGCCACCTGCGCGAGATGCATGTATTAGAATCACATTTAACCAATTTATATTCTTCAAAGTGTCTCGAATTGGGTCTCAGTTTCGTCTGAGTCTCGTTCAATTAGGCAGAGTCTTAGTTTCATTTGTGTTTTGGTTTGTTCGCCCGCATGTCCTTCAAAGTTGCAATTATTTCTAGCATTTCATTAGTCAGTTTTAGAGAGCACGTAATTTCTAGTTGATAAGAAGCGAAGCTGCATTTATAGTTCGTTGTTTACATTCTGTTTATATTTCTTCTGTTTGGAAAAAAAGAAACCAGATCCATAGACGTAGCCGGCTGAGCGTAGCCATAAACTCGAGCACCTTAGTACTACTAGAGTATCGAATGGTAGACGGGCTTTATTGTTATTATTACTGATACTGATAAGTATGTATGGTAAGTAGCTTCAGTTTCGATTTTGGTTTTGGTTTCGGTTTCATTGACAATCAGCACAAAAATTGCGGCGAGACAATTAAAAAATGCCAAAACTTGTCAGCGGGCTAATAAATTCATAAAAAGCCCAATATTGGCAATGATTATTGGAGCCAAGGTATTGGCGTATTGGGAAACCCGCTCGCATACGAGCTACGTGCTCGACCTGCAAAAGCATAAATCAGTAATGCAACTAGATGAAGAAAACATATTGGAGGCTAATGCAACCCCATTAAAATGGTCAACGGTCTGTCGGCTCAGTTTGCACATAAAACATGAAGTTGGACCCAAAAGTTTTTGCAAGCGGGTTGGCGGTGAAATTTGATAGCCAAGTGAAATGTGCGTAGGTGACCCTTTGGAGGCACGTTTACACGCATATTCACATGCGTCCGTATCCGAACAATTGGGGGATTTGGATGGACAGCTCGTAGTTTTTACTTATGCCAACTTTGTTGGCTGTTTGCGGCTTTGTTTAATGGCTTTCTGGCTGTGACGTCGCCTTGGCGCGGGCCGCTTTATCATTTGCGACACAAATAGAAATACGAAATATGCCTCATCGAAGGGGCGAAAGCAATTTTAAATATTTAGATAAAACTCGAACGAAAGCGAAAGAACCAAATCAACTGATATGGGCCCCCCAAAAACACTTTAGATTAGCGACGGCCCCAACGTCGACCTATTTCAAATTTACGAAACATTCGCACAGTGCCTGCTGTTCGTGTTCGCCTTGCAGTTTGGGGCGCAACGTGTCTGGCCGGGGGCAACAATACGAGGGGTGTGTGGGGGAGGTAGGATGTCTGCTTTTTGTATCATTGAGTGGATGTGCGAGCTGCTGTTGCCTTATATCCTGCACTTGATTGGGCGCCGGCAGTGCACGACGTTGATTGACTAACCAAAGGGATGTATATACACAGTATATCTGTCCGTAAGGATGCACAACATTTGGGCCCACTTGTTGACATCGCTAACAAGCCGGGGCTGCCTCCCCGTCTGTCTGTCTGTCTGTCTGTGTGTCCGTCTCACTGCCTGCCTGTTTGTGTTTGTGTTTGTCAGCTCGTATTGTTGGCCAAAAACAAAGGCGTCACAACAAGACACAAACTAGACAGACAGCGTCAACAACACCAGCAGCAGGCCTCAGTGCCGGGCGCGTCGAGACAATAGCCAGTCAATTCCAATGCTATAAGATCGAGGAAAACACACACACATTCATATATGTATATATATATATATAGTATCTGCATGAATATGTATGAAGATGCTCTTGTACATAGAGCACAGCTCTTGTGCCAGTTTGTTTGTTGCTTTAAACAAATTATTTTTAGCACAGGCATAACTATTAAAAGAAAATTAATGATTTTTGCTTTGCGCTTTCAAGTTGCATAAATAAGACAAACATGATGTGTGTGTGAGTGTGTGTGGGTGGCAGTTGGCAACAAGGGCAACCGCCCGATGCTATGCAACTTAAAACTAATCAAATCAACAGCACCAAATTCTATAAACGCCAAAGGATGTGCCCGTGTAGCAGGAGTGCGGGGAATGCAGGAGGCTGTTGCAAGGCACGGCCGAGAAGCATCTTGAGAGTCACGATGCCACCAAGGTGGGCATACGAAATGTGCTTTGCACGTTATTAGTATGCAGGTGGTAGTTGGTATTTGTATAATAGCATCATCAGGTGTGTGTGTTCCCGAGAATTTATTGTCTGTATGCGTGGCACTTTATATATATATAGTGTATAAATGTGTGCGTACATCAGGCATCGCCATGTTGAGCGACAGGGGGCCATATCCATAGCCATATTCGAGCCAACTTGGCAACTGCGAGCGGCGCTGACAAAGAAACGAAAAGCGCAGCCGACAGACAACAATTTTGTATCTAATAGTTTTTGCAAACTGATGTTTTGCAGCTGCTGCGCTTTGTATTGTGTATTGTTTAATTACAAATGTATCGATACAAGTAGCTGCATATAGATAAATACATGTGCTCATAGGCAGTAATATCTCGGCGCTGCGCACATTGTAGCAAATTTTTAATCGTGCGATTTATATGCTCTCTCCGAATTAGATAATTTAGGTGAAGACCAGCCATAATTATATTATTAAGGAATTTCGTCGTTCAAAGCAATTGATTAGCTAAAAATGTAAACAACAAGCTTTAGCCGGACTCAGAGCCCGTCCGTGTGACGCCCTCCGTTTAGGCCTGGGTTCAATGTATGTGCATTACGGCAATAAATTTGAATATTTGTGACAAAAATGCATTAAACGGGACATTTAAATACATATTAATGAGTATTTAATTTGATTTTTATCATTATTCAATTCGCCCATTGCCGTTTGACTTAAAAATAAATATAAAAAAAACAAAGTACACAAATCCGATTGGAATTGGAATTATAAAAGTCGTGTTCCGCCTTGGAATATTCTCGGATGCAGTTTATTTTTCTGGCAAATCAACTTATTTTGCAACAAATTAATTTTCCGCACATTAAAGTTAATCATGCGATGCGAAATAAATTAAATAAATGCGCATAGAGAAAGAGAGAAAGGGGGAAGAATAGCAAGTGAATCAGTTTCTATAAACAAATCATGTGTGTTTAGTATAACAATCTGTTGTCTATATACAAAATAATCGGGTTACAAAATTTACTTTTATCAATTTATTTTGCGCCCCGTATCCGTAAGCTTTGCACTGACACCTTGTCCAACTTCTACGTAAACAAACTAAACAAGTTTACACAAAACGCAACTAAAAAAACCTTTCTATAATGAAACCCACCTCAAGTTTTATTGTAAGCTTTAAAACTAGCTCGAAAATCGATAAATATAAAATTTTATTGCTAAGCGCTTTAACTATTTCCACTGAGAACATATTTTACTATTTGTTTATTTTCATATTGTATTATTGTTGTTTTTAACTAGGCCTTAAAGCTTGCTTGCATAATTTAAAGTTTGTCATAATATCTGCGCTGTTTGCTTTGGATTTCATAACATATAGCACAAATATCAAATAATTCCTCAGAATTGAAGTTGAGGATAATCAAATACTTGGTTACGTATTTGCAATTACATAAATATATTGCAATTGGAATATCATATTCGCCAGTTACGTGTTATTGGGGGAGGAATATTGTTATTGTTCAGTTCTCAGTTTACAGAAATGTATCTACTGCAAAGGCTACTTAATTTTCTGATACCCAAATGCGTTTAATTGTAAAAAAGGAATTAATTTCGTGTGCACACCTAATTAATTTTCTTGTATTTTTAGTAGCTTCAATTTGCCGGCAAGGAAAATGGCAAGCAAATCAGTTAGACGACATTTTTGTTCGCTGCGTAGGCTGTCTGCATGTGTGTGCGTGTGTGTGTGTGTGTGTGTGTGTGTGCGGTTAGAGTTGACGTCCTTCGGTGGCCACCAAGAATATCTCGTTCTTCGTT